CCACGCCATGAAAATATATGAAGGAGTGGTATAGCTCCATTATTCTTGATGTCGTCAATAGATGGAGGTGAGTGGTCAGTCTCACACCCCAGTTGCTTAACCCCTGGGAAAATACCCCCCCAGTGGATAGGAGGATGGTTGGGCTGTGCAATGGAGGCAAATCTATTGCCCTACCGGGAAACGAATCCCAGCCCTCCAGCCTGTAGCCCATTGTTACATCGACTGAGCCATCAGTACCATTACCAAAATTATATATTTTTCCTGTTGCTGTAATATTGCCTATGTGGTCTAGTGGTCAGAGTTCCTGTCTACAGATTCAGAGGTCACGGGTTCGATTCCCGGTGCTACCACATTTTCTGAGAAGTAGTGGGTGATAATAATTGAGGAGCTATTTCAAAGAAATAGCGGCTCCGATCTAGAAAACCGAGATTAACGGCCGTGGGAATTCGTTGCGCTGACCACGCGACACCCTCTATTCGCTAAAGTTGGCACTAACTTCGCCGACAAGCGCGGTCGATCGGTCGGCATAGTTCACTTGCGGACTAAAGGTGACGGAGTTTGTTTTGTTTTTTTGTAATATCGCCTTTGAAATATTCCTAACTCTGCTAAGTCCGCCATATAACCGAGATTTCTAATGAAGATTCAGCCATATTCATATTACAGCCTTGTTACTCAAAAAAACACACATGAACAAAAACATATTGACACAATGTGTACTCAATACGGAAATTATACTTAATTAAGATTTTAATCTTTAATTCGAAGCAGTGTTTTTGAGAGTGATATATAGTAAATATCACAGGAGACAAAAGAATCACTTTGGTCCTTTGGAACTAAGTCATGTTGGAAAAGTGTACACGAAAATTAAATCCATTTAGAAATTTCTACTCTTAGTACTCATAGTTGTCACGTTCGGTTACTAAATTAGGTGAAGTAAGTGATATTAGTGAAGCGACTTAAGTGCCACCCGGTACAACATGTACGAAACTGTCTCATCAATTCTAAAAAAGCCCGAATAGGATGAAAGGCCCAGAGCTTAATAATGGTGGAGGAAAACAAATTTATAAAGATGGCAGGAATTATATTTGTTTCATATTAATTAGTAGGCTAAAATAATCAATGGTGATCCCTTTGAAATTGATTTGTTCTATCACAAGGTTTTTAGACTTCCCTTCGTATTAGAATGTGGACCAAATTATAGAGAAGAAGTATTAACATGTAGGGTACAATTTACTCCAAAATTAGAGAGAATATATGATATGTACAAGTCTCACTTATCCTGAGAGCGTGAGAGTCGCAAAACTGCAACGCAGTACGCATCTTAGTACACAGGACGCCATATTTCTTTTTGTACTGAATGCATTAACAAACGTTGTGGAAAGCTTTCAGTTAGCATGAGGCTATAAAACATGCTTACATATTCCCTCCGACCCCTCTGTCCGTTTATTGAGACATAAAGGATTTACTGAAATACAGGAATGACTACTTTGCGCATTTGAGTAATACTGAAATTACATCAATCATACTAACATGAAGACATAATTCCTTCCCGCCTCCTATATTAGTATTCTCGGAAATTAAAAAAAAAACAGTACACACAGGGATAGATTTGGGATTTGGTGAAGGAGCGACAGCGGCAGCCTCCCCGGAGCCTCCACAAAACAGGCACAGATTCTATTGAGACATTTGATTTTCTGATATCACAAAAACTTGGTTTGTAATTTTAATTATTATAAGACGAACATTAACAGCAACAAAAATTATCATAACCTAAATTTTTGTTTTTGATAAGGGCCCTCACAAATGTAAATCCGGCCTTGAATATACGATACACTAAAGTATAATTTTGTACAGCTGCGAAACTTTGATTTCTCACATTAAGGGGAGCACATAGACTGAGAATGTCTCAGAAAAGGGTGTGAGGAGAATATCTGGGCCTAAGAGGGATAAAATATTAGGAGGCTGGAGAAAATAGCATAATGAGGAGATTCATAATTTGTTCTCCTGGCCAAACGTAATTAGAATGATCAAACCAAGAAGAATGAAACGAACAAGGCACGTAATGCACACGGAGAGAAGTAAAAGTTATAAAAAAATAAAGCTATCCCTGTAACAGGCCGTGGAGGCCCACAGAGTTGTGAGACGTCGAGGCTCCCACATTTTTCTAGACAATCTGTTGACAGATGGTGGTAAGGTTGTCAGCCTTATGCACCGGCCGTCCTTTACCCCCAGGAAGATACCTGGTACCCATTTCAGTTAGAAGCTGAGTCGACCCTTGGGCAATAGTGCGGCTGGAAGGATGGGGTCAATTGAAAAAAAGAACACATCATCGGGACCACGGAAAGAAGTACACAGAAGAATCTAATGGCAAACCTTCAAGAAAAGATACCGCTAGGAATACTTGGTCGAAGATGGGAGGATAATATTAAAATGGATCTGAAAGAAACAGAATGTGAGGGTGTGGACTGGCTCCGTGTGGCTCAGGATAGGGACCAGTGGCGGGCTCTTGTGAACACGGCAATGAACATTCTGGAAATTACTTGAGTGGCTGGGCAACTGTTAGCTTCTCAAGAATGACTCAGCTCGATGTATTTACTTAGTCAACGTACGACACAACTCATGTACGATTACTGACCCACTACAAGCAGACTGGAATTCGATTCCCGTCAGGGGCAGAATTTGTATCTTTATGTTCGCCAATTTTAAGAATTCACAGAAAAGTGGAATACAGAAAATGTATATTACTTGTATATTCCAAGGCGGGGAACAGGGATGTGAAGAAATCGTGAGCAGATGTGTAGTTCAGATTTCAAAATGTAACCTCAATTGTTCATTTTATGACACTCTCTAGACTATACGCCGTCAAATAACAGGATGATAAATGAATTGGAAAGGATTTGGGAAGTAGCGCTTGTAGCCTAAGCGTGGTACTAATCCCGGAAATTATTTGGGACAACTGAGGGAAACCACGAAAATTGTGTTGGCTGGAATGAGGTTTACTCATGTAAGGGGACCTAAATTTTAAAGTGGCATCCGAGTCCCCTGAAACGTCGCTACATTAGCGACCAGCAAAATTCGCAGTGCATATGACATCCACTGCGCACAAAGCGTCCCAGTGCCTTGCGTGGCAGTTAAATATCACGAATTAATCTCACACTACCTCAGTGACATCCCTTTCATATCACGTGCCGAAACTGACGTAAGCTGTCAGACATATAAACACTGGCTAATTTATTTGAAAAGTTTAGAATGCATTCATCCTGCTCTCAGAATATTTAATACACGTAAATATTTCACAAATGCTGTGCGTTAAGTTCATCCAATATGTTTGGATTATTTGAATACACTTTGTCCTTTATGCTTCCCTGCATATAAATGAATTGCGACTTATGTGTTAAGACCTTGCAAGCAAATCTGCAACTTAACAGTCTCTTTTCAGACATCTCATTTGTAATATTAATTGAATAATGAGAACTATGTGGTGTAGCACCATACTGCATAAAATAACCATATGTCGTTCCTCCACATTGTCCAGACTGGGTCTGGGGCCCACTAACCCTCCTATCCAATGGGTACTGGGTGGCAATTTCCCCGGGGGTAAAGTGGCAAGAGCGTGAAGCTGAGCACTCACCTCAAACTAGTGTCGAGATTAAGAAAATGTGGATATATACGTCCACTACTCCACACGACTCATAGCATAGTGCTTAATTAGTTAAGCACAAGGACAACTTTACCACGCTATTCGTGTAGTAGTAATGGCACACCACACACCACTCTTCTGATCGTAAAGGGGTACTTAAAAACTCTGCCTTGGATTCATATTGCTCCAATACCTGCTAATCTGAGCACTGATATACCCACTCAGGTGCAACGAAACTTCAGCAGTAAATATTTTTAAGTTCTGGGTAAAAAAACACTAGCATATATCACCTGCAAGAATCTGTTACAAAAATGTGATCTTCTCTTGAAATCACCTTCTTCAGTTACTTAATGTGACTAATTTTATGTGGCAGTAGGCATAACTTCTTAGTCCCTCTTCATGTTGTTGTCACTGAAATCTCTGACTGTTCAGCTAACTGTTCCAGGTATTTGCAAGGCAACATTCAAATCTGGCTCTGATTTCATCATGCTTTTCCTCAATTGGCATAGCATTCTGTATAGCGTATTTCTTGCCTAAGAAAGACCCACTCGAAAGCACTCTGCTCACTAATTCTAAAATTTCTGATCAAGCTGGAACTCTTGTGGTGAAATTTTATATGATAATTTTTCACATAAATACCATACAGAAAAATCTGCTGTTCAAACATATATTTCACCATATCAGGTCAGTACTTTAAATGACAACATGAGACAAGATTTGAAGATCATGAAAAATGATGTCATGAGAACAGAAGCACAAAGAGAACCAATATATATAAGCAATTCATTTGCATGTGTAGTAATAGTTGTAAAAGATAAATGATAACAGGCAAATTGCCAACGACGCTGACAGTCTCTCTGCTAATTCATTAGGAGCGTACAGCATGGTCAGCTACTGCCTGTATGTTTTCTTGGTCAGGAAAACTTGATTCAGCCATTTAAGGGAAGACTCTACAGGTAGTAGATCTTAATGAGATTTATATGGCACTACTACCACCAATTTCTGAACGTGGAGACAATTTTTGAAAAATAAAATTCAGTCTTCCTGTAAAGTAGACATTATACTTGTCTGATACAAATTACATTAAATTGTTCTGACAAGTGCAAATCTCAAATACCAAATTTCATAAAAATCCATTCAGTAGTTTTGGAGATGAAACACAGGGACAAACAAACAAAGTATCACAATTATGTATTCCTTTTAACCCCTTTGTGCAAAGATTGCATAAATGTGGCCTAGCACTTAGTTTTCTTGTCTTTCACATATGAGTCTGATATTTCAGGAAATGATTTATCCTCAGTATTATTGCTCTGTCCTGTTCATAGAAATTCATACCATTATGTCACTAAGAAAATCTTCATTAATATTCATGTTACATCTTTATTCAGTACAAATTTAAGAACTGTGCAATATAATAACAAAATGCAATACAGTAAGTAAACAGGAGACCCAAACCAAACAAAAAGACACCTCATAGTGGAAAATAAATCTAAACACAGATAAACACTTAAACAGTATAATGCACCAAATGACCTCAAACATACTGTGTTAAGTAAAACAGGAAGAAAGAATAAAACGCTTGTAACTGTAACTCCACTGGCACACAATGCCAAAAACTTCTATACACAAATAAAACATTCAGTACCAATCCTTCAAGCATATATCAAAGGGACCTTTACACTGTACGTGTTCTACCATAATGCACTTTAATCTCACCACCTCTTTTCCTTTCCATAGCATAGATTTTTAACCAGCTTAGTTTCATGTAAAAATAAATTCTGAAATAAAATAACGAACAGAATTTAAAGAACTTAAATTAGTGGAAAACATAATGCTGAAAGCAAATGAAGACATTTCTGGCATTAAGTCAACGTGGCTACCCTACACTTAGTCCATTTTATTTTAGAAAATAAGGCCTTTGTCTTCAAAATGATCTTAAAGATGTTGTTCCCATTATAAAGTTATTTACATATGTTTCTCTTACAATATTTCTTTACTATTAGTATACTAACCAAACCACCAATTCTGTTCAAGATAAGGTATAAACAGAAGGCACGTGTGAGAATGACTTTTCAAGTTCGAAACAATAATTTGGAAAAATTTAGAGAATCAGGCTCTATATACCAGAATTTTCACTTCATAACACAAGTCGTTTTTTTCAGTGTGCTACTTTATCTACTAACATGGAAGATAATTCCTACTGTACCACGTCACGCTAGGAAACGTGTGCACAGAGAAAGCATTCTCTTACTACAGACATGTGAAAGAAAAACATGTTACACATAACATTTAATGAGTCAGTTTCCTCCCTGAAGTCACTAGTCTTTATTCAGCTGCACTGGTCTCATTCTGTTCACCACTCCTACTAACTTTCTCAAGTTCAATTTCTTCATAAATCCTATCTTGCCTCATATTCACTGCTCTCATTCCCAACTTCTTCCCCACTCTCCGTTCCTACTACAACATAAGGTATACAGCAATTTAACATCCTCTGACTGTCTTTTCTCGAGAAAACCATTGCAATGGTCCTGCTCCCCTGACACGGTTTCATTGCCCTGGTTCATACTAGAATATGGTCCACTACAATTTGCCATTCAGAATACAACTGACTCAAACCATTCTTAAGCAGCTCATACCTCAAGTATGACCAAAGAGTGTGCAATCATTGCATGACTCACAGATCTGACATTTAGTACCAAATGCATCCTACATAAACGTTCCTGATTTTCTCAACAATATGCTTGGTCTCATGTCAAAAACAACTTGTAAGCAGTCTCCCATCAGCTCATTTATTCATCCATCTCTCAGTATGACAGCTGATTACCAGTCCCATAGACATTGTGCTTCTGGCAGAGTTTTCTGATTCAGTATGGATACAGTGGTAATCGCACGCTGTCTGCCAACTCTACCAAGAGCATAGCTACCCACAGCTTTTCACTGCCTGATGTTTATGGTACAGATAATTCTCGGCATAATTTCCTGTTTCCGTTTCCACCTTCAGATGTTCACCCCAAGAGACTCTGTATTTTCTTTCTGCTTCATGGGTATTTGCTCAGAATGTTCAAGATTAAAAATTATTGTTTGAATCAATCAATTCGATTTTGAAAATTCAAGACTTCCACGTGCCTAATAAACAGTATACATTACCCAAAATATATTACAGACCAAAAGTTTGATTCCACTCCTGAGCTTCAATGGTCAAAAAGATGGGAATGGAAATACCTAAATTAATACTCCGGGATTTTTTAAGCTTGTTAACAATTTAAAAACTAATGAAATCAGCTGCTATGAATGCTTGATATATCAACTTCCATATTTTGCAGAACCTGAAGCAATTCATATACAGTATGGTGACACACGGGAGAACCCACTCCAACCTGGAGAACATTTTTAAATCAACCTAAATGGACTAGTTAAAATGCATGGCAGTAAGTATTAACAACCACAAAAGAATATACTTCCTCACCTTCTAGTATAGAAATATTAATCACACCATGAAAACAGACTTAAATCCTTGTCTGTGGAAAGGTACAGTTGTAAACCAAACCCCACCCTGTAAACTGAAGCTTCTTATGATGAAATTCCTATTTACATGGTATATATCATTTCACTAACAATCACAGTGTTCTTCAGCATCTTACACAGTAATTCTAACATGTAACAGTCATATACATTAAACATTTTTCTGACATTCCAGTCAAGTTAAACAACCCTAACACTTTACCAGATGCTACAATCTACTAAAGGCTAGAATTTAAAGGAATCTTACCAACCGATATGGCTATATGTATATATGTATATAAGATAAAATCTCAATTAGGTTTGTATAGCTTGATAACTATGGTAGTAATTTTGGTTTTACAGCATTATTTTCAAGCATCAGAGTCTTCAATCTTCTTCACCATATAAAGAACTCAAAACTCCCGGTATAAGTTGATATACGCCTTTAGACTTGGAGGGAGTGGGAGGGCCTGAATTTTACTTCTCATATAAATGGTATAGGAATCAGTCTGAACACCAGGTGTATCACGGGCCTCCATAATATTACTGGCAGGACCATTCTGTGTCTCTTCTTCAGATCTCTCATCACTCTCCTCATCAGCTGCAAACGCAAGTCTCTTCCAGATCACAGCCTCTCTGGCCACATTTCTGCCCCTAGCCCGGCGTTCTGCAGAAGACTTGCGAGTTACCTCAGTCGGGTGAAAAGGGGACTCTTCCACTTGAGAAGAGGTCTTCTCACCATTTTGTGATCTATGACTCCTCTTCCCAGCAGAAGGAAGTGGGTCTGAAAAGTCTGAATCTGAGTCCACTTCCATAAATGCTCCTCCATCTTCATCTCGATCAGAGTCAGAACTCAAACCTTTCCCATTTTCAATTTCATCACCAATGCCACTATCAAATTTTTCTCGCTTCGGGATCTTCCTCCTTTGTTCTGCTATGGCTGTTGTGCTTACTGATGCTTCTTCTTGCGATTCCTCAGAAGTAACAGCTTTATCAACAGAAACTTGTTCAGCTTCACTGGACTCAATATTTCCAGTCTCAATTTCCTGATCAGGAAGTGCATCTACAGTCACTTCCATCCTTTCATCCTCTTTCTTTTGAGCATCACTGTTGCTGTTCTCATTTTGTTGTTGCTGTTGCTGCACCCTGACCGAGCGTCTATGACCGGCCAAACTCCGTGCCAGTTCAATCACTGCGGTGATGTGGCCAGCACGCTGGCGCTGGACATCATAGATCACACTAGCTCTTCCAAGATCTCTTGCTCCTCCATCATCATCATCTGTAGCTCCTGTACCAAACTCATCATTATCTGACTCTTCAAAAATAGGGATGACCAACTGACGTGAAGGTTTCTTCTTCATGCTCTTCTTCTTTGGATGTCTTCGTAGCCTAGTCTTAAGATCAGGGTGCTCTGCCTCCACGTTACGGCGTAAAATAGTGCGAATTGATGATCTACAGACATCCTGCAGTGACAATGGCTCACTTTCAGCTGCAAAATAATCATGAAACAGATTAATCACACTAAAAAGAAAACGATACAATAATTACCTTCAAATATCATATACAGAAATCACACAATAATTCTCTGGGTGGATTTAATGGACCTTCCTGACTGCTGAGTAAAAACTGTGTTCATATGCCTGCAATTTGTCTGTGAACAAGGACCATGTTCTGCTATCAAAACAAAAAGGTTCCACACTATAATCACAAGATTTATCAAGGAACCAAATCTCAAGCCAGTATAACCTAATCAAATTATATCCAAACCATTTAATTAAAATCGATTTTATTGCTGTTTAATCTCTTTTAATCTGAATTTAATGTAGAAATGTAGGAAAAATCGGAAAATTAATATAAACAAGCCATTGATTTGGAGTACTGGGCTGAAGGTGTTTCGATACCATTGGAAGATATGAATAAACAGCTGGTTACTGAAATGGATATTCTATGGAGAATGTCTGGTATACACTGGATGGGAACAGTTTGGAACATAAAATAAGTGAAATTATGACAGTAGAGGATAAGCCAAAAATTATAAATACTATATAAAATAAATTATTATGGTGGTTTATGGTGGTATGATCATGTCTAGCAAATGATATAAAACATAAAAATAAAAATGAATCGGGTACCTACGGAAAGAGTAAGAAATGAAAGACGAAGAAGAAATTGGCATGCGGTAGACAGCAATGAGGACTAGACAACTGCAAAACTGACAGTGGACCAACAGGTATTAGCAGCCTTTGGGAACCAGATGACAGTGTCAGTTGTTGTGTACCATATATATATATATACAGGGTGTCCCAGGAGGAATGTGCCAAACTTCGGGAGGGTGTTCCTTATGTTAAAGTATGCCGATATAACCCAAAACACCTATGTCCAAAGTTGAACGGTTACGGAGATAATGGCCCGAGAAGTGTCAAACTTTGACCGGGGTTACACACTTGTTGATTACAAAATANGCAGCATGCAGAATGGCCTGTAGGTTTCAGCATAGTGCAGATGCATGAACACCGTCACAGCACCAGTATAAGATGGCTGCCCCACTTCAGACTTCCAGCAGGGAAGAACAGCATTCTGTTATTCAGTTTTTGTGTAGTGAACGTGTGAAACCTATTGAAATTTATCAAAGAATGAAGTTTCAGTATGGTGATGCATGTTTGTCACAGCAGCAAGTGTATGAATGGAGTAGGAAGTTTGCAAATGGTGTGACTTCAGTGGAAGATGCTCCTCGTCCGGGTCAGGCAGATCGAGTTGTGACTCCAGAGAACAGTGCAGCAGTTGAAGCCATAGTGATGGAAAACCGCCGAGTGACATTGAATGAATTGCAGCAAGTTTAAACATTAGTCATGGTTCAACACACCACATTGTGCACGATTTGCTCCAGTTTCACAAAGTGTCTGCAAGATGGGTGCCATGGCAGCTGACTCCTGAACTGAAAGACCGACGTATTGATGCTTGTGAAGAACTTCTGTGGCGCTTTGAACGAGAAGGTGATGACTTCCTTTCAAGAATCGTTACTGGGGACGAAACCTGGGTTTACTTCCACCAACCGGAAATGAAGAGAGCGAGCAAGCAATGGGGCCATTCCTCATCTCCAAAACCGAAGAAGTTTTGAACACAACCATCAGCAGGGAAGGTTATGCTGACTCTCTTTTGGGATGAAAAAGGTGTCATCTTGGAGCACACCACGCCTAGAGGGACTACTGTCACCAGTGCATCATACTCAGATATCCTATGTAGTGTCTCAAATTTGGGATTGGAAATTTAAGTCATTACCTAAGTGTCTGGAGACTTGCGAAAAGTGTTTTGCAGTGAAAGAGCAAAGATGTCAACACCTGGACAGGCAACTAGGGTAAGAATGTTGAGGATCAGCATTCATACGTAATCGCCCTAGCAAGAAGCTGGCCTCACTCGGCCACTGAAGGTAATGATGTTATTAATTACGCAGCGATGAGACGCCATAGGCCCTCCCACAACCACCGATAACAACCAATTAGAACATAACTTTAGGAATTTAGAACACAAGGGAGGAGTTAACTACCCTCTGTCGTCAACAGCTGAATTAGCAAATTAAAACTATAAATTACTGAATTTCGAGGGACTTGAGATTCTGATCTAACAGATAATATTCAGTTGTCAGCCAAAGGCTCTCTTCAACATGGGCCTTACGAGCGGAGGCAGTGGGCTGGCATGTGGTACTACAAGTAAGTTCCTTTACTCATATCAGCCATGTGGTTTAATAGTCTTGTTGATCAAAGTGTTGTTGAGTGATTTTAACGTGCAACTCCAGTGTGCCCGGCGAGCCCTTAGGGGAGGATACGAGAATTATGTAATTGCCTAGGATGTTAGTCAGGCAAGAAGGGTTTATAGTGTATGTGTCAAGGTTATGGTTAGCGTGTAGGATAAATATAGTATGTGGGTTTCATTATGTATAACTAAGGGTAGATTATGTTAAGAGTGAACTTTACGAAGGATAGTGTAATCGTATCTAATGAATAGTAGGGAAACAGGATCCCATGGAACGATTAATACGTGCCTATAGTCGAAGAGAGAGAGAGAGACTCCAGTTTCACACCCCCGAGGGGGAGGTTCCTAGTGTAGCGTGAAGTGAAGCCTATGTAGACCCGACTGAAAGTCGGCCTTGTTAATAATGTAAATATAAGAGTGTAAATAGATAGAGTAGATAGATAGGATAGGACGTACCGGGATTGTGATTCACACTCCATAATCACCTTTCCTCGACCCATCCAGAAGGTCCTACTCAAAATGAGAGTTGCAACAGCAGCCGAATGCTTAAGGGGAGGTACTAGGAATGGACAGGGAGAGGCACCTGCCACGCAGGCAGAGTTAGTAGCCTTGATACCAACGCCCCTTAAAATATAATAATAATGTAATATGTTAATACCTGTAGACTACATGAGGCGTTGTCAAGAGGGAGCTATGACTATATGCCAGGGGGTAGTTCCCACAATAGAGAGGACATATAACAGATGGTGGCAGCTTAAATAAGAGCAGGAAACCCCGAAACAGGAGAATCCTAGCTGAGGGTGAGCTAGGATTATGGTGGTAACTCCTTACAGCGTAAGCGGTGGCAGAGGCGGGCTAACTCCACGCCCCCCCCCCTGCTCGCGGCATTACATCCTAAAAAATCATCTTCGGCCTGCAATCAAATCAAAGCGACGTGGATTGCTGTCCACAGTTATCCTTTTGCAACATGACAATGCAAGGCTCTATACTGCTCGTGCAACAGTTGCGACAATCAATGACCTGCATTTTGAATGTCTTCCTCATCCGGCATACTCACCAGACCTTGCCCCAAGTGACTGCCATATGTTTGGACCACTCAAAGAAGCAATGGGAGGAAAGATGTTCTGTTTTGATGACGAGGTACGCTACGTGGTGCATGAGTGGTTGGGCAGACTACCAAAAGAATTTTTTTCTAAAGGAATTCATGCACTTTGTAAGTGCTGGAGGACTTGCATTGAGTGTGGGGGAGATTATGTTGAAAAGTGATACAGCTTTGTACCACTTGTGCACAATAAATAATACTCAAAAAAATATTTAGGTTTTCATTTGACTCACCTACATATATATATATAAAGGATATACTGGTATTCCAACAGGTCTCTCTATGAAAATTAATTCTGCATTTATCTCCCAACTGAACCAAATGTAATGACCATCATGACTAACCTGACTCAGCCATTCTAACACATTAGTACATGAGTATAAACCGTAATAAGTGATTAGATTTGCATATTTTCCTCAGCAGTTTATTAAAGATATTCATACACAACACTGTAAAACTGCCACAACTGTAAGGAAGCAAACAGGACAGCTGCTTTCACACCTAAATTTGAACTTGGTATCTCCCAGTACTAGGCAGCACCTAATTTTACTGTCCCAGAAGTTAAGATTTTTATAAACTTAAGATTTAGTTTCAGTGATTACAAGTCAGTAATATAAGTGTTAAATTTATTCTTTTCAGTATTTACAGGCCACTCATCACAATACTGCAATGGAGCCTGTGCATGGTATAGCTGGCAATGCGTTGCATTTTTTCAATGCTAATACCATTATTCCCAACATAAAATACGGCCACCTGCCCAGAAGAATCAAGAGATTTAAAATTCCATATTCCCAAATAATAAATTGTCACCCCTGAATTAAAATTTGACCAGTAACCCCATAAAAGGGGGAGATTTAAAATCAACATTCCCAAATAATAAACGTCTTAATCAATTGTGTTCATAATCAGGAAATATTAAATAAGGATTTTGGTGTTACAAGTATTCCTGCTGTACTGAAAATGATGTGTCTGAGGGTGAAGGGATAGTTGGAAAGATAGTATTAAAAGAATTTTAAGAAATGGGACTGATGAAGATTTGATTCACATAGACCAAGATATGGCTCAACAGTAGAACTCCGTACTTGCAGATACCCAGGCGCAATACCACAACAGGCCTTGATGAGAAATAAAATGCACACTGCAAGAAACAAAGACATACTTACGTAACTTTATCTGATCTTTCACCTCTGTTTTTCCAGGCAACAGCAGAGTTGCAAAGGAAACTGGCAACACAGATTTTACGTCCCAGCTGGTTTCTGAAGTTCGAACAATTTGCAGCAATTGATCATTCAGTGGCATGACAAGTACACCTCCTACCTGTACAAAATAAGTCTCAGTTTCTCAGTATGTAACAAAGAATGCTTGCTACCATAGAACTGATCTGAAGCTGTATTTCTGCACTGAAAGATATATATATCAATATCAGGCAGCACATGACAGAACCTTTATCTATTTATCTAGCTAGCTATCTGTGGCTCTAGGGCCCCTTCTTGGACCTTGGCCACTTTTTCGGTTTCTTGGTCTTTTAAACAGTGTGTAGCACTGGACGGGGGTCAGCCCATCGCAAGCCTGCTACCTGCACACAGGACAGCACAAACACAGACACCCATGCCTCAAGTGGAATTCAAACCAAAGATCCCAGTGTTTGAGCGGGCGAAGACAGTTCATGCCTTAGACCGCGTGGCCACTGTGGCTTTAAATACATATTTTTTTTTTCTAAATAATATATAAAATTCAGTTTGTACCTCACAGGAAACTCATTACATCTCTGCTATAAAGCCCAACTGGTTAATGCTGTTTAGGGAAAAAATTTCTGTTTATTGTGAGAACCATATGAAACATTCTGATACACTATGTGGGCAGAATGCTGAGATTTAGCATGTTAAAGCACATGGCACATATAGTAACCACTGGGCGTTAGAGGATTAAAATAATTATACAAAATTATGGTTACTTGCTATTTCAGAATACTTTAATTTCCTTCAATGGTTCAGCATGTTGAAGCATGTACTGTTATCCCAACCTTCGGTAGAAAATGTCAGGTATTTCCTGATAACAGGATCTGTTTATGATCAACTGATTTAAAAAATATACAAGTACGGCATCACAGAGAACCATTACATACTATACAAGAAGTTAGTAAAAACTGATTACAGTTATGATCTTGTTAATTTCTCTGTCTGCTCAGCAAGGGTGGTGGAATCTTCACAGGAGATCCAAAGAATCCTACTTCTCCCATTAAGAAGATGATGGTCATGACTGGAAACTGGGACCTTCGCTTAATGTGGGCTCCAAATGATGGTGAGGGACTGCTATTCACTATATTTACAATACTTTTACATTGTCACAAGTGAAGAATTTGGAAAAATACATATGAGATAGGATTGGTCATGAACTAAGACCTCTGACACAGGAGGCCAATGGCTTCTCTGAAGACCACTAGACCCTATATGATCAGCAATTACAGAACTTCCAAGTGAACAGTTCTGGCAAAATTCCAGGCATAACAAACACAGGATGTCACCCATGACTGCATATGAAAACAGTTCTGTATTTCAGTCTTGAAGCAAATAGGATGACTGGACGATTTCCTTACATTATGTAAAATGTAATTTTATACACATGCTCACTCACACACACATACCCCTCAAGGATTTAAGGGAATATACTGAAGTCCAAAAATGAACTAAAATAACTCCCCAGGAGTACTTGAGAGGATAACAGCAATTCAGTTAGTCAAAATAAAATCCCCACCTTTTATGGAACCCAAAGGTTCATTACTACTGCGATCCCATGACTTTCCACTTGTCCCTAACCTGAGCCAGCTGAATCCAGTCCATGTTTCTTTTTTAAAGGAAAAGGAATATGTAGGTACCAGTTCCAGTACCAGTGATATTAACATAAAATTAAATTAAATTGAATTAAATAACCTAAATTTACATGCCAGATAACAAAGCTAGATAGCTCAGTCAGTACTGGCTAAGCTGAAGCCATGCGGTATTTCAAAGGGGCAGGAATTTAAAGTGATTAGAATGTGAAGCTGTTTAATCACTTTCATCTAGCACTGATGTTAAGAATGCATGGAGCTTTACCTCAACATTTTCATCTGCTTCAGAGTATGACCTTAGGCACAGACAGAACTTCATCTCTACCTTGTAGAGAGAAACCACCACTTTACATTTCTTGGAGGGGCAGAGGATATGAATATTAAATTGGGGAAAATATTTATGGATGAAAATTAAAACTGCAACTACTGACATGAGATCACTGAACATTAAATTAAAGATGAAACTTTAAACGGGGGAACATTAAATTGTGGTCCTATCCCTTGAGAACCTTGAAGTCAAGAAGTGATTTCACTTTGTTACGACGATTTTCCTACTAAATACAACAAAATTCATGTAAAAATATCATGAAAATTAGAACAAAACAATGGTATGAATTACATTCAATTCAGTGTCTTCATTCTTACTGTAAAGAGAAATAACTGTGGGTATTTGTATGAGTGAGTAGCCCAAAAGAGTATACTTGGTGGTGGTGATGACTCTGATAATCGCCATCATCATGAAATTAAATTACTGATGTCAGATGTCCTTACAAAAGTGAAGGAGGAGGAAGAAGCCAAGGACTAGTCTGGCACACAAACAGTTCCAAGACATATAAAGGTACCGAAGACTATGGATATGGTACCGACAAGACCACTTAGGGCAAATACCTGAGCAGAGACGAAACAACCTCACACACTGCATGTGACTACTTAGATGTCCCATTAACTAATTCACTGTTCAATTTTTGTTGACTCAAAATGCCTTCACTGCGTAAATAAATGTGTGAGAAAACAGAAGTGTTCTTAATTCAAATGTGCTGTGTTTAGAAGCTGCTTTCCTATGCCATTACCACTTGCAGTACATCACTCCTAACTTTATAATCCATTCTGTGGTGTTTGGTTGTGGGCTATTTCTCATTACAAAGGACAATACATAGTGCAGACTCTCCCACAGAGGCTGGACAGGGTAACAAATTCTGCTTCATCTTACAGTTCTTCTTCTTCTTCTTCTTGTATTTGCATTGAGATGGTCTTATGGAGCAAACACAATGTTGAAGATGGTGAGATTTTCAATTTTTTTAAGGAAGTGGCACTCATACAGTCAAGCCACGAGTAATGGTTTGTGGGACTTCCTGTCCCTCTTAGCAGACACTGGTCTCTTGTAATTTTTCACAAGTCCCTACACAGTGTGTTCAGGTTGTTAGGACTATGTTCATTTAAAACACAAGACATGAATTATTTTCAAAATTTCACTCTTTTTATTCAAAATAGTCTCCTTCTGAATCAATAAATAGCTGGAATCGATTGAAAAGTTTTCGAAAACAGTCACTGTACTCCTTTTGTGGAATCACATTTAAAACTGTTGTAGATTCCCTTTGGATGTCTTGGATGGTCTCATGATGGTCTCCTTTCATCGCCAACTTAACTTTTGGGAACAACAAGAAATCTGCTGGAGCCAAACCTGGCAAATATAGAGGATGATCAAGGACTGTGATCCATTTTCTGGCCAAAAAATCGCGCACAATCTTCGATTTGTGGGGTGGGGCATTGTCATGAAGGAGCAGCCACGAACCTTGCTCTCGATATTGAGGTCGAATTCAAAGAATTCTCGCCCACAAACGACTGAGGACGTGATAATAACCAGAATTCACAGTTTGATCTTCTGGCAGAAATTCCTTGTGAATGATTCCTTAGGAATCAAAGAAAACGGTTAGCAGTGCCTTTACTCGACTCTTTTTGCATGTGCACTTTCTTTGGTTTCGGCTTCTTTGGGCTCAACCACGCTGCACTCTGCCACTTCGTGGGAGGCTCACATTGAAAACACCATGTCTCATCACCAGTAACAATTGATTTTGTAAATTCTGTATCACTTTGGGCAGACCGTAACATGTCTTTGCAGTGTTTCACTCTGGCATGTTTTTCATTGCCTGACAGCACGTGCAGTACAAACCGAGCACAGACCTTCCGTTTGCCCAAATCCTCAGTCAAAATTTGATGCACAGTACTTTTTGGTATTCCAAAAAGCTACTTGATGAGTCTTGCAGAAACACATCTGTTTGATTTTCTTCAGTGCGACTTGTTCTCGGCTTTAATGCACATGGAGCAACTTCAGCGTCTTCCCTGTAGTCACAAAATATAACATACCACCGAAAAATGTTCGAGCGACTCAAACAATCACTACTGTACACACTTTTCATCATTTCGTACACTTCTCCGGCTGTTTTGCCTAACTTCAAACAAAATTTGATGTTGGCTCTCTGTTCAACCGTCATTTCCCGACGAGCATCAGAACAGTACTGTACATTCAAGGTCAGAACACATGAAGCAGCGAAGCTTGCGCTTTGAAATTATAGACAGCCACAGCTGAAACTTCAAGAATCTTAACGCCACAACTCGCCAACAGAAGGCATTGCAGGGGGGGAAAGAGTCCTTACGGATCCTGGACACACTGTGTAAATCATTGCATGGTGATACATACTGGCAGATAGTTTCTTCCTTATGGGCATGATGTAGGTGAATCTCCCATTTACAGGGGCTAGTTCTACGAGCATTATACAACACCACAAAAGATGGTATCACTTTATACTCTTATGTGCATGTCTGTAATTGGTAGACATCTGATCAAATCTGTATACCTCAGACATATTGTAATGGCTTTGAACAACGGCAACAGCTCTGTAAACACGGTCTTTAGTCACTGATACATGTGACAATATATTTATTGTAATGTGCCATCAATTTTGGTTTAAAGAGTGCAGAATCCATTTTCTCCTTTCTTAGGTTGTCCCTGCACTAATTCAGTTCTGGCATTTTGAACAGTGGAGAGAAGATTCACTCACATGAGTCTTGCCAAATATGGGTAATCATGTTTTTCATAGCGTTCACCTAAAACTTTGGCTCAACCCCTTTTTTCCATTTTACATGCTTGTGGTCTTGTGCCAGTAGGCAGGCCTTTGCCATGTGCCCTTACAGTGCCACAGGCAACTATGCCCTTTGTTTCCAATTTATGGAAAAGGGTAGGGCTGTAAAAGAATTTACCACAATACGTAACATGTCCTTTCATCTCAATCCCATGCAACAATTTCAGAACCGCTCCTTCCCCCAGGAGTTCAGCATTATGTGCCAGTTTGTTAGATTTTCCTGTGTAAGTATCAAATTTACAGAGTAATCCAGTCTTACCATCATACAGGGACCAAACATTTACACCCCTCCTGGCAGAAGGCTTAGGAAGCATGTGCTGTGTGAACTACAATCTATCCTTGAAACAAAGCAGTTTCATCTACTGACAGTTACTTAGCCAGAGAGTATTATTCAAGGTAAGTGTACTGATGTATTTCCAAGATAGCTCTAATTTTATGAGCAGGTCATAGCCAGGATTTCCTTTATAAATCTGATCTTCATTACTGTTGAAGCACAGAAATGATTGTAGGAGAAAATACCTGTCCCATGACATAACTGATGGACAATTAGGTATATTATTTAGCCCCTATTTTCATAGAATTCATTGTGCACATCCCCTATTATAATTTCAAGGGCAAACACTGCTAGAATATCATCTAATTCGCATCCATTCTGAGAATGAAATCTAGAATGAGAAGAAAAGTCACATGTTCTGGCAAGAAACTGGGTGGAAAGAATGTGTGTTTGTTTTGTTCTATGGACTGATATTAAATGTGGGAAATATTGCAGAAATGCATAAAATGATGTACTGCATCCTATTCTGTCCTAGTCTGTCATCAGTTATTTCTCTGCTTGCTGAGAACTGCTGTCACAATCCCTGTGCTGTGATGCTGATCATGGTTCCATTTCAATATCACGCTAACAACTAGGACTTGCACTTGAACTCTCACTAGTCTTATTATTACATTCATCCTCCAATTAAGAGTCAAAAAAAAACTCTGTGGTTTTAGTCCACAAGCAAACTATACCAATTGAGCAACCTCCACTTGTCGGTGAAGTTATTGGCAACTTAGAGTCAGCAAACATAAAGTCATCTTTAGCAATCTGTTTGTGACTGAAAGAAGGCCACATCTGTGCATACAACTTACCATTTGATGCTATTTACAACATGGTACAACATGAGCCCCATTACAGAAAATGGTAAACTTTCAATTAGTTCCTTTCAGACTTCAACTCGCCTGTATCGGGCCAGATTTTTCCATGTGCAGTTCATTTTTCTTGCTTGGCTTACTCTTTGACCCTGATGATCGATGGCAGTATTTTCCTCCAAAACACTGGACTTTTACAAATTACATGGCAAAACAAAGCAGGAGAAGATCATACTTTCTATAGTTACTGCTGTCAGAACCCAAATCCAACGTTATGTATAAGGTTGTATAGAGTCAGCCCTCCCCAAAGTAACAGAAGTGAACATCTCCTTATTGTTTTAATTGCTGTTACAATTTGTTCCACATGTCAACCCTGACATGTCACTACATGTTCCATGTGCATGAGTTAGGAAGTTCAGTTATCTTTCTTTTGACCACCCTGCGTTTGACTCTAACTACTGCACTCAGTGCCACTGAGGAGGCTGTATGGGTCAATTAGCTTGTATGGAGAGGGTAGTGTGTGTAATAAGTCCTGCTCCTGCTTGGAACTGAACTTCAACCACCTTGTCCATAGTAAGTTACGTTACCAACTGAGAACTGCATACATTCAGAGACAAAATGCGATAAAAATTCTAGTCATAACATTACTACAGATTTACAATAACAGACACTTGACAAAACTGATCATATTTATTATTCTCTACCTTTATGAGATTCTTCATATAATTCTCATGATTTTCTGGACATGCAGCACCACAGTAGACTCGGTCATACTGACGTACATCACTGTTCAAGCACAAGCAATTTCCTACAGAGAAAATAACATGTGAAAATTCTAATCAAAAGTTATTAAAAAGTAACAGAACAATCAGAAATTCCTTCTGAAAACTGCTACACTTCTTGCAGTACCATACCTTTCACGAACTTTGGTTCACAGAATTCATATTCATCCAGTGCAGGAGATATCTTCCTAAATTCCTCTAGCTTTTTATTTGCATAATTTACAACATCTTCATGAATTTCAATACCATGGTTAGTACCATATGGACCTGCAAAAATGATAACATAGAACAGACACCTCTTCAAATGTTGTTTTGAAACCGCAGGAATTGCATGATGGGAAACGTACAAATACAATCAAAATATGTTTGAATTATATTTGCAGTTATTTATGATTTTAATCCCAAATTGTTCTGAGCTTTAAAACAGTGCCTGAAATGATTTTTACAACATTTCCAATTGTTATAATGTTGGCATGATGAACAGTGAAGACTCCTGAATATAAGTGGGGAGAAAGTGTGTCATGTAATGGTGCATTACCAATTGCAGCATTAAGCAAATAAATAATCAATGAATTCAAGTAGCATCTCCTTAACCCATGCCAATTAAAATTGTCTCAAAGACATAGTCAGCCACCGATCAAACAGCCATACCAAGTCCCTAAGACAGTGTGGAGTTTGCACTAGTTTGTGTCATCAATATATGGAAGCCTTATGGCCTTCTGTGGTCATGCTTTGACCACAGAATGAATTTCATTTACCAGTAAAAATTAAAACAAACAGAACTATAATTTTGCCTGTAGTATTACATGAGTGCTAAACTTGGTCTCTGACATTAAGCAAAAACATAGAATGAATGCATTTGAGTCAGGGTGCTGTGGGGAATATCTTGACCAATGAGGGATGAAATAATAGGAGGTTGGAGGGAGAAGACTACATAATGAGGAGCTTCATTACTTGTACTCTTTACCGTATATAATTAGAATGCTCAAGTCAAGAAGGATGAATGGGCAAGTCATGTAGCATGCATGGGAGTGAAGGAGAATGCATAGAGAATTTAGGTGAGAAAGCCAGAAAGAAAGTAACTACTAGGAAGACACAGTTATAGGCAGAAAAATAGTATGAAGACGGATCTTTGAGAAACAGGATGGGGTGGTATGGACTGCATTCATCTGGCTCAGAATAGGGACAAGTGGTGGGCTCCTGTCAACAGAGTGTGACGTGCCACCTAAATGCTGGAATACTGAAGACAAAACAAATGTCCATTGCCAGTCAACAGCTAGGTAAACATTGTTCCTGCAGTGAAGTCAGCCATTCCTAGGTAACAACTGGCTATACATGTTCCAAGGGTACGCTGTAAACAAATACACGACTGCAGATATGGTAACCATGGGAATTAACAACGGTTTCTGACACAACATGGTCTAAAAAGAGCAGAACAGAACCCTTCAAGGCATTGTCTGCTATGACGGCCGCCTAACAGTTCTAACCAGAAATGAGCCGTGGATTCAGAAGCTCAGAAACAGAAGTCAGGCACAGAAGAAGAGAAGTCAAAAGTGAAGTCTTAATTTTATCTGGTGTAGCTACAGTAACCTTTAGAGTGCTATAACAGGTCATAGTTACAGTAAGATTTCAAGTGTTATAATCAATTGTAGTTCTGCCTGGTGAAGATCCAATAAATCGACTCACCAAGCCAAACCCGCATCCAAAGTCACTAATACATGTGACAATATTAATGAACATTTGAGTCCCATAAAATGTTTGGAAATTCTTGAGCAGCTGGAATCTTCTCAAGAAGGATTCAGCTCCATGGAGTTAGTTGTATACAACATAAGTGATACAAATGTGTATCACACAGCAACAGCAGGAGTCGAATGAAGCAAGGAACTGGGCTGTTCTGGAAATATTTGACCTTTATACATGACATATGTATCTCTTGTGCATTACATTTCTTAGGCTACATGTATTTTATTTTGTACTGAAGTGTTTCATACATGAAAAATTGGTTTCTTAGATTTTAAGGTTAGCTGTATTTTATGCAGTTTGTATATAACTTTACACGGCCTACTAGTTTGTGATGGCTGTGGTAGATAAGTCATCATGGTGATTAGACAATATGGAATAAACACTCAAACTACAAAAGAATAAAGCAAACAAGAAGTTCTTGGAAGAACTAATCATCTACTTTCCTTTCACTAAACACTGAGTATTTGATATGATACGGACTACACAGAAAACCCTGCATTTAACAGTCCTTTTATTATTACATGCATATCTGTTCCCATGGGAATGTGTTTACATAGTCCTTGCCTCGCAACGGCCATCTCTTTTGACTCCACTATTCTGGTTTCAGGCATCGGGAGGCACAAAGACACACAGACAACAAGGTGATCTCATAGGAATCCTTTTATTTTTTCAAAATAAGCAAAGTAGGCTAAAATAATGTTGCTCTGTAGTTCACTCAATCATCAAATGAGTACCAGGACTCTTCCACAGGGATAAAGCAATGTAAGCATGAAGCTGAGCATTCATGTCAATCACATGACAAGGTTAATAATCTATGTGCAACTATGCCTCAACTCCCTATATGTCTTCTTGTCACAGTGCTTAGGACAGCATAGGAATAGCTTTGCTTTTATACCTACCTTCAACTTTGCCTTACAAATTTATTTGTAAAATATGTGTGTTAGTAGTTTCATGTAATTTTCTGCTTACATTTGTAATGTGAGGAACCAGTGTGTTGGTAACACAGCATGTTGGAGTATGGCTGGAGATGATTCCTCTATAGTGAACAGAGTGGAAATTGGCAGGTGAAGAAAGAAAGAAAGGAGTGAAAATGTCTTACCATTGTTTTTAATTTCCCAACTTTTGTTATTCATGAATGAATAATGTTAGTAGGCTTATGGTGACAACAGGAAAAAGTATGAAAGGTGAATCGACAGAACTTTGATCAGAATAATCAATTTATCCTAAACATAATTCTGAGAGCATATAAGGAATTGCATACTATCGCAGGAAATAAATACAGATGGAAAACATCCATGATGAAACTGGATCAGAGATATTGGTTTCTGATGTCCAATTCACTGCAAGAGGCTGGTCCCTTATTAACAAATAAACGTGGGTAAACATAAAGGTGTCTCTGTGCTTAAATAATTGAGCACCACGGCCTGAAAACATGAAGGGGAGTGGAAAAAATTGCTTAACTATTCTTGACCTTGGTACTAGATGAATAAACAGGGATCCACACCTTAACTGTCAAGAAATAAGTTTTTTCATTAAATGTCAGTCTTTTCTGTAAATGTTATTTCTTCTACTTACCTATAATAAACTATTATAATTCAAACATTACGAACCATCTAAGTAGATTCTAAAGGGTTCTGATGATGTATTAGCTTAACGTCCATGTATTTATCACCCATCAATATTGCAACACTTGTTTGTTCACCACTTAATCTTAATTTTAGTTTAATGTTTTACACTTTGACATACTATGTTTCAGCCCCAAACAGCCATCTTCAGGTGTCTTGATATGTTACAAATATTTTATTAAATTATGTTAAAACCTACACTGTATTAGTCCGTGTTAAAATCACACGCTCTAGTTCTCTTTTCAATGTAAAACAAGATAAAATCCATTAAAATTTCTATTAAACCCCCGTTATTTTGGTGCATTCTATTTCACCTCACAAAGGGTGTCGTCCATTGTACATGAATGTATGCCTGTCCCACGTGTTTTGTTCCAGCAGCTCGCCCTTCACGTTCATAGCCTACTTTTNAGGTGTTTTGTTCCAGCAGCTCGCCCTTCACGTTCATAGCCTACTTTTCAGTTGTGTCTGCAACATGCCCCTGGTTTGTATGTTTCCTCCACAGCGTGTGGTGTTGTTTTTACTAGGCTACTAAGAGGAAACTACTAGGAAACACGCATACCAGGGGCATGTTGCCATCATAACTGAAAAGTAGGCTACAAACGTGAAGGTCAAGCTGCCGAAACAAAACGCCTGGGACAGGCATACATTTATGTACAATGGACGACACCCTTTGTGAGGTGAAATAGAATGCACCAAAATAACGGGGGTTTAATAGAAATTTTAATGGATTTTATCTTGTTTTACCTTGAAAAGAGAACTAGAGCGTGTGATTTTAACACGGACTAATACAGTGTAGGTTTTAACATAATTTAATAAAATATTTGTAACATATCAAGACACCTGAAGATGGCTGTTTGGGGCTGAAACATAGTATGTCAAAGTGTAAAACATTAAACTAAAATTAAGATTAAGTGGTGAACAAACAAGTGCTGAAATACTGACAGATGACAAATACATGGACGTTAAGTTAAACAATTCCAACAGGATGCTGAAATACAGAATGATGTATCAGAATTGCTGGGATTTTGACTTTGTCCATCATCTGGTATTCTAAATAACTAAAGAACCCAACATTTCAGATGTTGGACAAAGTCCAAAAACCAAGTAAATCCAGGTATCTAATATAACTTTCCATAAACACATATCATGAATTTTCTTATACTATCCACATTTGCATGTGTCATTTTTCTGTGTATTGAATATGCGAAAGGTTAAATCTTAACTTTAACTTGGATTTAAATAGTCTTTTCCACTAAGAGAACCAAAGTGAAATTCTGAGATATGACTATGTCTAAACATGATAAGATTTTCTCAGACAATGAGACGCATTAATTGGAAGCATATGTCCAACATTCTGGAAATGTTCACTGTCTCCATCATCAAGGAATTGTAATGAAATTGAAATAACTAGAAAATAGTGATAAAGTCTTTTTCAGATCTCTTTCTGTGGTCTATTTCATGATGGTGTTGGTATTTGGAATATATACGATCAAATGGTTCAAATGGTGTGAAGACTGATGAATGAAAAAGGATTTTGTAGGAAGTGGTCATGGTCTAATTGAGATATTTGCCTGGACAGACTAAGGAAAACCATGAAAAACTAAGTCAGGATAGTCTGTGTCCCAGCTGAGATCTGAATCAAATACCGCCCAAATACAAATCCAGACAGTTACTGTTATACCAGTAAACTCAATTTTCAGTTCTCAAAGCGAAGAAATAGGAGTGTTACAATTTACATTTAATATTGTTAACATTAAGTGACATTACTGAACCTCAAGGATCGTTATGATAATACAATAAAATTTCCCCTATTCTGAGACAGTTCAATTGATTTCACATCATTCGAGCTATAGATGTCAAAAAGAGAAATTTAATGTATATAATGTTGATTGTATTCTTACCTAGAATGAGACCAGCCATTGTGCTAAGGTAACCAGTACCCGAACCCAGATTCAAAAAACTGAGTCCAGGAAATAACTGCAGGCTCTCCATTACTTCACTATAAATACAAGGTGCTGAGAGATGAAGATTCCCACTTTTCCACGCCAAGTCCTTATATGCATTTTCTCGAAACTCTGATGTAAAATAATGAGCACGATCTACAGCTCGAAAAACACGCTCAACATCAGGACTTTTGATGTAGTCCGCTTCCAGCAAATTGTCAATCAGGTCATCATTGTCTTCTCCTGCACTTACAGCACCACCCATCTTTAAATACTTCCCTGTAGAGCTGGTCGCTAAGCAGAGTTTTTTGCGTCAGGTGTCAGCAACTGCAAAGCAAAATTAATTACAAGAATTAATTTTTTGTTTATTGTCCTTCATTAGAAAATACGGATTTTTATACTCATTAGTCACGGGTTATTGTACTCTGAAACTCTTAATGGCTGTTTTGATTTTAGACGAAACGTAAACAGCTGATTGTTCCTAGTGTCAAAACTTAGTACATCTTAAAATGTGAAAATAACCTTCACCAGTAAAATCAATATTTTTCTGATGCGGTTTAAAAGTGTGCGTTTCAAGAATATTTGCTTGGTGTTCTATAACATAGCTACCGAATAACTTCATTCAAGGTCAATCAGCTGATCTCTTAAACAAAAACAAATGATATATATATATATAATATAAATGTTGTATGAGATCATTCACATGAGTTAATATATAAAATCTATATATAGTACATTACACATATAATACTTCTTAATTATGGATAAAGGTGATGATATATTAAACATTAGGTAAACAAAAGAATTTTCAGTATAGAATATCACCACCTTCTGACGTCAATTATAACGAATTCACCGCCTCCTTCACTACTTCGTTTTATATAATTGCTTGCATAATCCGCTTGCTCCATAAGTTTGGGGCGATATCTACAGTCTGTAGTGGATACTTCTACATTTTGTTGTTTAAATTAATTTCTGTTACATTATACCTGAAATTTAATAATTGTTACTTGTCCCTAATTTTAATGCGAAGTTCTAGGCCATCACAACCAAATCCAACAACTTTCTATTAACACACATTTCATCTACGCACTTTACTTTTACCAAATAAGAAATATATCATGGAGTAGACTGTGAAAAACATTTGTCATGAAAGTGAGTATTGAATAATGACAACAGATGACTCTCGTCACTTCTTCCGAAATAAATTATAGTTAGATCTGATTCCGTGCGGAAATGATATGTCGACATTGTTATTGATTACGTTATTGAAGTCTGGTTAGCAAGGAAGCGCTAGAATAGTTCTTGAAACAAAGAGAGTTATACATATTCGGTTCCTATACATAGGTCGGTTCAGAAAAGTGACACACGTCATAAGTATTATGATTATTAGTTATTCCTATCATATTTTCACATTTTTACAGAGCACCCATATTGGCGCGTTTTGAATAACGGCTGTGGCGCGGAGAATCTACTGACGTCAATAAGGCCTACACTTTATCCACTGCCTTCTGTTTCATGCTGGAGTTGAAGTTGAGGCCCGTGGCACCGCCATCCGATGAAGGTATGTAGAATTTATTTCGTTACCAAAGACAGCTTTTAAAAAATATATTATAAAGAAAATTGTTTGAAATGGCAGATTCTAATTATTTCTTAAGCATTGTAAATTTTTCTCAACTTTGCAGTTAATTTTTTGTTAATAATTTTTAATCGCGAAGTTTCTTTTTTTTATGCGACGGACTCTACCTCTGATAATGAATTGCTGCAGGTATCCTATAATACACCCCATTAAACTGAAATTTCGTTTGCGTAGAAATAAGTTGTGGAAAAAGGCGGTGTAACAGCTTTGATAGTAGTTTAGTATTTAGTCTTTCCGTTAGGACTTTTATTCCATGCACTGTTAAGTAATTTCGGGGCAAAACTAATAAAGTAAAATCGCGACCGAAGCGTAAACGGTGTAACGCTAAGAATAATAGAGATTGCAACAAGACGTTGATAGTATTTTTATTGCAATTCATAAATGATTTAAATTTTTAATAATGCTTTAGACACGCAGCAAAAGTTTTACGCTTGTTCTGTGTAACCGGAACCAAAAAGTAAAATAATAATAAAGAAATGTTAAACGATTTTTACATAATGTAATAAATCGCCGCCGTTTGAAAGCTAAGGGAATGGCTCATTAAAATGAGTGGGTTCGCGTGGGTATGTACGAAAAACGCATATAGTGACATGAAGAAATGTACAAAATATATGCTTCTTTAAAATATAGTTGAATACGGCATGAAACCGAAATAACTGTTATATATTATGAAGTTCTATAACTGTCTGCAACTGTCATTACAAAATTAATAAAATTTTGAAGAAAATTTAACGCTTCAAAACACAAAATTATTTCACATATTCATGAAATTGACTGCTCTGCATTATTTTGCATCGTTCTTACTATAATTATGTTATTCACTGAGAGCTCTACTATTATGTAACTGATTTATTAATCTAAAACTTCTATATAAAGTGTCCCCTTTAGCCAATAATTTATGAGGATTTCAAATCAGATTTCAGCAAGGAAGAGCCTTGATTAGTACTGTATAATAACGATAATAATAATAATAATAATAATTATATGAACAATTATTATTATTATTATTATTATACTTGTAAGAAACATGCAAATAAATAAATATTTAAGTTATTGGTATTATCATCAGCACTGAAATATAGTGTTTGTGTAATAGGTATTTCCACTTCAGATGCCTCATAAAACATTACTATAAGAATTTAAGGGCAAGAGAATTTTTCATATGGCCAGAAAATAGTGCATTTGATGTCTGATTAATTACCTTGATATTTTTTTCCCTTGGCTGCATTAAATGTGTGCAAACATTATACAGCATATGAGAACAATGTTTTTCTTTGTCTTTCTATATATGGCATCCGCTTACAAACTAGTTTGGAAGTAGCTGAAAATGATCTGAACCTCAAATTATGCACTGCATAGGAGAAAATCAACAAGGTGTTAAAGAACCATTGTCCTGATTGTGTTGATTGAATAGAATGTGTTCACAATACCTCATAATGCAACATTTCTACTTATGGATTGGGCTGTCAAAATTCAATAGTCACATTTTTGTTTTGTTTCACATTATCCAGGATGGCTTTGAAACCCCTCAAGCTTTCTAACTTATTAGTAATTTTGGAGAAAACGCTGTAGTATTTAGCTAATTGACTCCATCTGGTGCTGGAAGTGTATGTGCCATGGGTGTTGTTGGACACACACCAAAAAATATTTTAAAATATAAGAGTTATGTGTGTTTCAGTATAGAGACCCACAGTTCTAGGACAGCCCATAAGAATATTCTTAAATGTCTCTAAAAAAATTAGAAGCAAATTTAAAGGTCTAATGAGGTGGGATGTGGAAAGTGAGGTGTTGATGAAATCTGCCCTGACCTCCCAAACAGTAACAGACAGCAGTGGTTCTAAAGTTTTTGAACAATGGACTCGACTTCCATGTAATTGGAAAACAGATTTCATGTCTGTCATCAAGTTTGACATTGTATAGCTTTTTTGGCATGTAAGTGGTATTTATATAAAAATGTTCCCATTTTATTTTCATTTTTATGCACCTTTTTGTTCAGATTGCTAAAAGTTCTGAACTTAATAGTTGACAGTAGACTTAATGAAGAGAATTAAAAATGTAATTCTCATGGGCAGTCCTAACTATCATCAGATATACCCACGCTGCCCTTAAACCTTTTTAAGACATTAAAACTAAAATCTCATTTTAAGTAGAAACAACAAAATTGTGCAGTATGTGCAGGTGACATCTTTTAGCTTGGCAGATGGCTGTATCCTTTATATCTTCTTGTTATTAAAATGATGAAAATCTTATTTTGATACCATAAAAATGAACCAAGTGAAACAGACACTAAATCGACTTAAATTCAAATGCAGGTAAGAGACATATTCTTTAAACAGAATGAGATACTATAATGACTTTTGAGGAATTGTTTTGGTGATAGGATAAATGTATCATCAATGGCAACACCACAGATACCTGCTTCTTCATGTGAAACATCTCCATTGAAACCTCAAGAGAATGCAGCAAACGTATCATCAGAGTCCCCACTGACTACAGCAGCTTCTTCGGCACAGCAGCAGGCAAGCACTCGCATGCTTCCACTCCTGTACATCCAGGGACCTGCAGGAATGCGGGTTGGAACCAGCAGTGCTGGGACTATGCCAGTTTCAACTACTTCGACTGGAACTCAGGTAAGATAAACATAAATATTGTTGTAATATGTGATAATGGGATAGTAGAGAAAGGAGGGAAAAGAATGGGGGTCCTTTAAAGCAATGATGATTGAGTAAACTTTAGTATGTCATGCAGCAGGTTCTACTACAGCAGGTTTTGTTACTGTTCATTCAGAGAAAAACGTTGGAGAGATACCGAGCCATGTAGCTGACAGGTTTACACTCTCAGTTAATATTCAAGAAGCCGTGTTTGATTCTCGGCTCATAAATTGACTATTTGGACTCTAGAGCTTTGTGGTTTTTTCCCATTACACCTATGCAGATAATGGCAGTGTCTTAAAATATATCACGAATGAATGCTTACTTCCAGTTTCAATATTTATATTCATGCTTTCATTGAATGTAGATGAGGAAGGATTGCTGAGAAACAAGGTGCAGAGAGGTGCAAAGGTCCTGCCCAAATATAATTTTAAAAGTTTACTATAATGGTTTAATTGTCTTAAGTGTTATGTCTTATTATTATTTATCTATATAACAGTTGGGAATTATTTATGTTTTTTTTTTCTCCCACCATCCCTTGCATAAAATGAATGAGATATCTGGTTGGTCTGTGAGAGTCTGTAGCACTGTGTACATTGTGATCTCAACAAGAAGTTATTGGAGATATGGAAGAGTGGAGAATGTGCATCATACTGAGAGGTAGTACTGCTCACTGTGCCAGATCAAAAGGTAGTACTACATAAGGTAGTTTGTTGTTGCTTAAAACTGTGTGAGTTGGTCGTAGGAGCTTTAAAAATGTATGAGATTTGAAGTTCTCATTGCAGTGAATAATAAGACTGAACCCTGAACCCTGAAGATGTAGACAGTGTGTTCCTCTGAGGCGTTGGTAACTTTCCACCATTTTGCATGGCTTCACAGCCCAAAAAACTGCAGTCTAAAACTTTAGGAATTATTAAAGGAGGAGAAAATAACTTTAAAATTATATGAAACAGGATTAGCAAATCCTGATCAGTGTCAAAAGTGCATGTAACACCTATCCAAACAACCAATCGTCATAAGGAAGTTACTACAACTATGTAAGGTAGAAGTGAGGAGATCAGTACCATGATCATCTAGCCCTATTTAAATTTCTTTAGCAGACACCCACACCATGAGACTAGCTGTAAAGTCCATAATTTATTTATGCTTATTGAACCTAACCAATTCCTACTGCAAAATAAATTAAACCAAACCAAACGAACAAAATTCATATATTTTTTTAGAAATATTAAAATATCAGCAATTGTGAATACATAAAGAGTACAGGTTCCAAGCTATGATATCATCAGTAATTAGACATTGTTATTAATATGATGGTCAATCCAAAAATAGGGCTTCCTGTTTATTTTTTGTTTATTAATTTATTTTATGTTATTTAACATAGCTGTCAGTAATGTGAATTCAGTGTCAGATGATGGGATTATGAATTGGAAAGAATTTTAAAGGAAGCGGTCATGGCTTAATTGAGGTACTATCCCAGCATTTGTTTGGAGAAACTGAGTGTTCATTATATTTCCCAAACATTGCATGTATAATATGCACATATATTTTTCACACCATTACAAATACAGTTATTTCTTCATGATTTGGTCACAAAATATCAAAATATGATAGATGAAAGGTTATTTTTATTTTCATACTATTCATTCCCAAGAGATCCGCTATGGCCTTCTGCTTGAAGTCACAATTCATGTACATGCTTTTAGTTATGTTCTGTTACTGTCATTAACGTCACATTAAAACTTTTATACATGTGCAACGAATCAGATAATATAGACAGTCTGGAAACAGATACTTCTTTGGTAAAGATGAATGTGTTTTGTGTGCTTGTGAGCTTCATGAAAATAGATGTCTTTGCAGTGGTACCATGGTGCCCAGGAGACAGAAACTGTATACTTGTACAACAGATAGTGTGGCAACATAACAGTTCCTGATTGACATTTAAGAAGGACAAAATGTGTACCTCTTTTTATATGTGTAACAGTAAAGAAGTGTTAAAAATTCATGCACTTTGCACTATCAAAGTGTATACAAATCATACTGTATTACAGGTTGTATCCAGTGCCATTAAACCACAATTTGTAACAACAAATGCGCAATTCATTTCTACTTTGGCCCCAAAGTTGGCTATGGCTCCTGTTGTTGCACCATCAACCATCTCTCCAGCATCAGTGGTTACTACAACCACCAGCTCTTCAAAACTTGCGTCTGCAACCCTGGAGCAACAACAGCCACAGCAGCAGCACCAGCAGCAACAATCTCCACCTTCACACTTTGTAATTCAGGCTCCACGCACATCAGGAGGATCCACTGCTACAATAGTTCCTGTTTCTGTAGGTGGCCCTGGAATGGGTAAACATACATTTGCTTACTTGGGAACTATCATTAAGCCAGGAATGGGAGTTGGCAAGCCTGGTGAAAGCCCTCAACTAGTACTTCCAACAGCAGGATTGGTTCCAGCAAGTAATCAGAAGCTTCTTTTGGCTCCTGTCCCAGTTCTTCCCCAGTTAGCACCAGCTCCACCTCCTGCAAGCAACATCACTACACCATCATCATCTCAACAACCAAAAGTAGCTAGTCTTCTTGTACCCATGACAATCCCAGCTGCAGTTGGAGGAGGGAAGAGTGGTATGATCAATCTCAAGATCTCCAATGGTCAGATCCATACTGAGGGGAAAGGATCTGTTACTGGTAAGTTTTGATTCTGTGGTCAAAATGCACAGTTTGTTTGACTGTAGCCTTTATTTTAGAAGAAAAATAAGGCATTTTTTTTTCATAAGAAATATGTAAACATTAAAACACTTAATATAACCGCTTATTGTTTCCAGTACTCCGAGAAGCAAAGCCATTATCAGGTAGCGTGGGACAGCTACCTCCCCTACAACCTATTGCCAAATATTCAGGTACAAAGACAACCAACATAAAAGCTAATGGGTTACTACTGCCAGATTCTACAACTTTGACCCCAGTGAAGGATGTTACTACTTCTGTATCAGTAATAACAAAGAAACTGGCCATCAGTGATGAAAGCAACATCAAGAAAAATTTCACCGTGAATAACAACAACAACAACAATAATAATAATAATAATAACAATAACAACAATAATAATGCAGATGATAAGAAGAAGCTAAATCAAGATTTGAACAGATGTCTGAAAGAAACTGTAGATGCTATCTTTTCACCAAATAGCCCTTCCCTGATGAACGATAATGACCGGGATGAAATTAATTCGGCTGATGATGAGGTGACACTAGTCAAAGTAAATCCGTTGAAGGAGTCTGCTATGAAAGAAGAAATGACAAAGGAGCTTCCAGATGATGATGTCAAGATTGAAATTGTAAAACAAGATATAAAGGTTGAACAGAGTGATGCAAATGCTGAAGATTTTGATCCAATGAAAGTTCTAGAATGGAAAGATGGAATTGGAACTTTACCTGGAAGCAATCTTAAGGTATGCTAATGTTTATGTTAATATATTTTGAAGTACACTGTCAGGTGGGTGTGAGTGTCCATAATATACCCAACACCCGCTCACTCTTCAGTAATTTTAGCAAAAAGGCCAGACTTGATTTGGAACAGAATTTCCTAAATAGCATTGTATAAGTAATATGTTTCTGTATAATCTGTATACCTTAAAATGCAGCTATTATACTAAGCTAAGCAGTAACTTCGCCAACAAACGGTCGGTATAGTTTGCTTCCGGACTACAGGCCACAGTTTTTTTTTTTTAAAGGGAAACACATTCTCATGTACTCAAACAATATAAATTAAATTTTGCTTCATGAAAGAATTGTATGCTTAAACCTAATAGAGTAGTTTGAATATTGTTGTAAGTCTGAGCGACCCATTCTGGAATGACTTACAATGTTGTCATTAGGTTGTTTTTGAATTTTTATTGTGATTTTTATATTGATTTCTTCCATTCATTTATTCATGCAACTGAGCCTTTCTGGAGAATTCACCAATTGTGCAGCGACTCAACAACTTCCCAGCATATTACAGAACCCCAAGGTTAATTACCATGTTCAGAACAGCCCTCCACTGGGCCACATCAATCCAATCCATACCATTATATGCTATCTAAGATCCATATTAATATTGTTCACCCGCCTGTGTCTTTGTCTTCCTAGTGGTCTCTTTCCTTCTGGCTTTCCCACCAATCGTCTATTGGCACTCCTTCCCCATTTGTGCTGCATGCCATGCTCATCTCATCCTCCTTGACTTGATCATTCTAATTATACTTGGAGAAGAGTAAAAGTTATGAAGTTCCTCATTATGCAGTTTTCTCCAACCTCCCATCTCTTCATCTCTCCTCAGTCCAAATATTCTCAACACCTTCAGTCTATATGCGTCCTTTAATGTCAGAGACCAAGTTTCACATTCATACAGAACCACAGACAAAATTTCAGTTTTGCATATTCAAATTTCCACTGCCATGTGCGAACCTGCCTTATACATACTTCGAACATTCCAAGTACAAAATCTGATATCCATTTTCTTTCGCTTAGGTCGTTTATCCAAAGAAATCCACCCAGGTCTGAGGCTTCTCGTGATCTTTCATAACAAGCTAATTTTTCACTGTAAGGAGCTGTTAGCCCCATGCCCAACCCTCAAGCTTGAGGACCACCTCTTATCAGCTGATTGTGACTGCTTATTCAATATATTCGCAGCTACCCTCCATATCTGGAGGCTCTCTCCTCCATTCACAACCTGAGGACACACCATGCCATGGTGACATGGGACCCACCTAACATGTCATTGATTCCATCCAATATTCATAAAAGAGAAAATTATCTTTGATTGAATTCATGCATGTGATGTATTATATTTCTTGTATTTCACCATCTACACTTATCACAACAATGAATTTATAAATTCACTAGAAGACACACTGCGGCTTCTCAGACATCTTCACTGCCTCACAAATCATGGTCTGTAAACCACTGCCACTTGCATGATTTGTAATATGTCCTGTACCTCACCTCAAATGATAGTTATCTCTTATTTAGGTGCATTCAAAGAGTATGTGGTCTTGATTAGTACACTGTTCATTTATGTTTAGTCTTTATTAAATATGTATCCATATCTCTTGCTTCGGACATAATCCACAAAATGGGCATGGCAGTTTCCATATTCCTAGCTGAAGATGGCTTAGAATCTGAAATGTATTTGCAAATGAGTTTAGAGAGAAACATACATATCACTTGTGCCACTGAATTAGTTTCATGAAGATAATCTTTATGTTTTGCATTTTCACTTGGTCATATTATTATCAAAGGAAATACTTGATGATTTCACTCTTTCCAGGAATGCTACTGAAATAGCTTCATAGAATGTGGTGCTTTTGATTTGTCATGGTGTATGAATAACTATAGTATTAATATTATAGACAGCATTCCAAAAAGTAGCTGAAGTTTATTTTTAAATTTCAGTCACTTCCTCTCATTTATCTTGTAAGCATGAATATTTAAGAAAAAGAAAACATTCACATCATATGATGAGGTGCTGTATTTCAGTTCCGTCTGAATGAATTTGGGATGATGGAGATGGTAGATGATGAAGAATATGAGAAACTCCTGTCTTCCAAAAAGAGTGAGGAGGATGTTAAAGATGAACCCACTGAACTAGTAGGCATTCCAAAAGCAGAAAGTGATACAGGTAGAAAGAAAGATGAGAATAATGAAGGAACTGATAATCAATCAGGTGAGATAAAGATTCATACATACAAGTCAGCAACTTAGAACTACTTGACATTAAGAGCTGTACTGTTATGTTTGTTCAGATTCAGGCTATAAGAGATGGAGCACAAAGTCATATAAATCATACTATCAATTTGCTTTTCGCATAAAAAGATTGCCTGCAAAACAGTTCTACAAATATATACAACAGAGGTCTGGTCTGAAAAGTAGGGCACACATTTTTTGTGCAATGACTTGTAATTATGCCATTGTAGCATTACATAAGAATCAAGGTACACATTTGTAGTATTTTTCAGCATAACTGCCTTGTATATTAGGACCATGGTGATTGATAGTCACCACCCACAACAGAACACTACCAACAAAGATCATGCAGCATCAGAAGACAAAAAGAAAACAACCAGAAAGAAATCTAAAAAACAAAAAACAAGATGAGATCATCCAGCATATAAAATTGACAACACAGAATATACCTACTTTAAACACTGGTTGATGTAAGAGGTGAGCAGTGCAGCCGCCAGTGAACAGGTGCACCTGATGTTGGCCAAAAGGCTAGGACGTATTAGATAATATACTGGTATAGTATAGCTATATGGAATTTGTGGTGACAGAAATAAATATAATTGGAAATACCACACATCATGGTGCTAGAATACAGTATTTAAGTGTACTATTGAATAAAACACCTGATAAGAAGTAACTGTGTTACCTTACTTTTTGGACCTTCATTTTGTGTGCAGTAAAACTGAAACAGTTCAACACAGTGTTAATTGCATGGTTTTAGGTCACCTGCCAGCTATGCTAGTTGTGTTTAAGCAAATTGATAGTATGATCTGCCTGACTTTTTGATCACTGTGTATTAAAAAACAGTGTAGGGATAAACCCAAGCAAACAAGGGAAGATCAGCCTAATAAATTTGTATTGTACTCGAATTATTTTGCGCCGGCACAACTTGTTGGGAAGAGGAGTCCACTCTTCTGATTGCTGTATCATTCCGTTTGTGTGTCTGTGTACCTTCGTATTGTGAAGGAAGACATAAATATGCATGTTTTATATATCATCTCATGTCTGCCAAAAGTGCAGCCATAAGTCATTATCATGTGCCTCTCTGAACTCTTCCTCAAGAACACTCGATCAGTCCTTCCAGCACAAAACAGGAAAATAAAACATGGAGAATCAATTAATCATCACATTATAAATTTGTGTATGTTGAAGCTTACATTATTTGTGCCCTAGTCACAATTTCCTGCATTAGATGTACTTCCAAGTTTCATGAAACATTTCTTCATGCAATGTATAGTTGTTAGGAATGGAGGAACACATACAAAATTGATAATATTATATGAGGGCTACTTCGAAAATAACCTCCATTTATTTTAGGCAAGTAATGTAGGAGTGGGGGTGGGAGAGCTCGTGCATGCAAAGTAGCATCACATGACTCATTGCTTTGTAAACCACCATATAATTAATCAACTAGTGTTTGTTCTTGTCTCTATGTTATGTCTGTTATGTTTCCTTGGCAGAGAGTAAGAATGATGTCACAAAAAAGCCGGTTGGAACATCTGATGACATTTACTGCTGTGAGGGCTGTGGTTGTTATGGTCTAGCATCAGAGTTTGTGAGCTCTAGATTCTGCAGCCATACATGTGCTTCTTCATTTGCAAGTAAGAAGGCTGCCGAGAGCAAGAAAGAAAGAGATCTGTTGCAATTGAGACTCCGTCGACGCAAGAAAAGACTCCTTCAACTTATGCAACAGCAGTTACAGAACCAACAGCAAGTCTCACAGCAGCAGCAGGTCAGTGTAATGGCACAACACATGCATACAGAATGAGTGAAAACGGATAAAAACATTTACAGAGTAAAGAGTATTATGATTGGAGAATTGGCTGATTGTGAAGGAGAGATGAAGCCATGTCTGATTTCAATATATCCTGGCTTTTGTCTTCTGGTATATAACACCATGTAGTCCATTGAAAGCCAACCGACTTTTGAAGGCACATGTTGCTCTGAAACACTGGCTGATTTTCAGCAGACCACACAGTGTTATATCCCAGATGATAGAACTTTTCAAAATTAATTATATCCTTTGTAGGAAACTAACAGAATAAACATTTACACTGAATAAATGACCAAACCACACTAAATACAAAGGTTTTCATATACACACTACATGTTCTGTGTGTCATGGCAAAGTTGAGTGGTCTGTTCTGAAATGTTATTAAGTCTCATAGAACATATCTAGCATAATTTGTTTTACTTGTCTTTCAAACAGATTTGAAGTAAAATTTTCCAGTTCCAAGAGGTTTCTCATGACTCCAGGAATACCACTAAGGAAGTGGTGGTGCACACTGGTCTAAAAGCAGCAGTATTTTCCCATTCTTCTTTCCAAACATGTTAGGAACTGCATGAACTGTGTACATATTATCTGTGGACTGTTGTTTCTTCTGTATGAATTGTATGAATATGGCAAGGACTTTGCATGCTTGAAGCATTTTGGCTTCTCATACTTTCCAATTACTAGCAGTGGCATCTTCTCAGATCCATCCACAACTTCTGTCTTTACTCTTGCCTCCAAGGCAGCTTTCTTATTTGGAAGAATGTGTTTTGTTCAGTAGTAGGCTGAAAAGCAGTCAACACTCAAATGCATTAAATATATTCTTTTGATGGTGTTCACTCAGAACACCATCTTCCAGGCACCTACATCCTCTTCAGTAGCTAGACCCTGCATATTTTCTGAATTGAGCGAGCCACCCATTCAAAGGTGTGAATGCATTGTTTAGTTTTTTTGGCCATTTCTTTAGTCTCAACATTGGATTTTGAATTGTTGTTATAATGCCTGCTTTTGCCTGAACCATTCTAGGAGCACTGATCTGCTCTTTTTGAATTTAGAAGTTCTTGACTGGTTTCTACCTGGCTCAGTAGTTACACGTTGCTGAATTATGTTTTTCTTCTGAGAGATTCTGATGATGCTAGCATCAGAAACTCAGAATTGCTGAGTTTCTAGCATACCGGACGATGAAAAAGTCCGGAAACCCAGTAATTCTCTATGTTTTTTCTTGTTCACCATAAAATTTTTTTGTGTCAACACTGGTATGCTGAGTTATTCTTTCTTAATGATCTCCAGTTTCTCAGAAATTGAGTTTATGTTTGTGTTTTTAGCCATGCATACACCTATATATAAGACATAAGTAACCTAGCTTTCATGCAACTTCAGCACACAAGAACCACACTGCCAGCTAGACAGATGGAGAAGGTCAGAAGGCCATCACTAATTCTGCTGACTTTCTACACTTACTGAACACTGCTCAGAATTTCATTTATGTGAACCTCTATTTTGTTTCTTATTAATTTCTTTATATATGTAATATAATTTAAAGAAACTTATTATTAAATGGGTAAGATGTTTGATACATGTCTTTAACATTGCTCTGGGGTACAGAGTAGCATAGGTTGTTGAAGCGCTTTGCTACAAGCTAGAAGGCTGTGGGTTCAAGTCCATTTCTTCAATTTACCTAATCCTTCCAGCTGTACTATGGCCCTGGGATCAACTCAGCCTCTAACAGAAATGAGTATCAGGAATCTTCCTGGGAGGTAAAGGGTGGCTGGCACATAAGGCTGACAACCTTACTGCCACCTGTGAGCCAATTGTCTAGAGAAAATGAGGCAGCCTCTACATCTCACAACTCTGTGGGCCTTCACGGGCTATTTCAGGGATAGCTCTACCTTTAATATTGCTCTTCGTAGGCAGAATGTCATTATGTGCAGGAAACGGGATTTAAATACATGATTCTTATGGTATTACTTTTGAGTTAATTTTAATTTTTTAGGCAGAAAACCATTTTAAATTGGATATTCATGAGTGGAATCCATTGTATGTGATGTAATGAGCAGGCTGGTCTAGCAGTATCACTCTAGAATTGTATTTTGGGGTGCTTGGTTCAATTCTCAGACAGGACACTAGCTATCATGCCTGATGTTCTTTGTGGCTTTCCTCAGTCTTTCCAGGCAAACACCAGAGTAGTACCTGAATTAGTCCATGACCACTTCCTTCCAAATCCTTTTCAGTTCATTTATCATCCATTCATTTGATGCTGTATATTCTGGATACTGAAAGCATTGTAGAATACACATACACCACATAGAGACATGTTCTAATTACTGGAACTTTATGTATTCAACAGCCCCAGGGGGATAATGGGAAGATTCGAACCTCAGCTGTACTGTCTGCATCTTCTGTAACATCTTCATCTGTTCCTGCTTCCACAAAGACACCAACCCTTAGCGAAGAAGAAAATATGTCCAATGATGGGACCCAAGATGCAAGCAAGGTATGACATTTCACTGACCAAGTGCAGACAAGGAGACAGAAATCCTCATACTCTGGTGGCATGGAATGGAATAGTACAGTTTTCAGAAGAAAATACTCATTTTCTATAGTTTTATAGTCTAGGTCCTTTTTTTTTTTTTTTTTAATTTTTTGTGTGCTGCAAACTGTTATTATATATTCGTAACTTATTACATTTTTCAATATTTGGCCAAAATGTTACTTTCACTGCTGATCTTTCTTTGCTCATATTTCTGGTATAGCAAACCTCTTTTTTGAAGGTAATATAATTACAAAGTAAACCACATTCATCTGTACTGAAAGTATCATAAGGTTCATATTCTTAAATAGATGTATTAATATATTTAATCCATTTCTCTTACTGAATTGTTTGATTTCATTCATAGAATGGAAAATATCAACATTGAGCCTATGGGCAATCACAACAGGCTGTTCTTACTGCAAGTTACAATTAATTGGTACATTTGCAGCTGTGTTTACTGAATCATTGAAGCAGTTTACTTTCTGCATCTTCAGATTTTCCAGTTCTTTCCTTCTTATCTAGTTGGCATATCACTGAAGCTTGACTACAGAACTTATTTCTGTGCCACAATTCCATTCAGCACTGGGGCTGTAATGTCTGACTCCTCTGAAGTCTGAATATGCATTGTGTTAAGATTTGGTTCAGGTCTTGTAATTAAGTTTTTTTTCCAAAGTCAAATCTTTTAAGTTTATTCCTCATACAGGGGTATTCTGTAATTTCATGGGTGTCTTATTTTGAGCTTACAGTGAACTCTTCCATTACAGTAAACACACATTAAATTAACATGCAACTGTTCACTGTTAGTGGACACTGACAAGAAGAAAGGACTGTATAATAAATGAATAAATAATCAGTATCAAGGTTTCGCTGTTCATTATTATTTCACACAGTAGAAGAAAATTATATATATATATATATATATAAATTGTTTAATGTATGCTTCAGAGTCATTAGTAGAGCACTGTATTAAAAGAATAAGTTAAATCTGATTTCATTGCAATCTAAACTGAATCAGGACTGCATTTTATGATCCAAAGCTCTCATGGCAACTGTATGCAATGATCTTCTCAAGCAATGAGTCACGTAAAGATGAACTTTGTTTCCACTATTTAAAAGACTGTCTGTGTCTTCATCATCAGGATTGATGTGATGAGTGACCTGTACATGTTATTTGCAATTACAGAACAAGAAAATGTTTTAGGTGGGTACTTCATATGCAAGAGACTTTAATACACATCTTATAAGCATATTGGTTGGAGTTAAATGTCAACATTATGTGGGAAAACTTATCTAGGACTTGTTGTATTTTGTTATGGTAAATTTTTCTTTCAAACAAATATTGCATAATTACGGTCTTAAAATGAATTACTGCTTGTCATAATCTTCTACGGTGATGATAGATTCATAATTTTTCCCCTGCAGCGTACAGTGCTTCATATTGTATCTATTTGCTGAAAAATGAATAATGTTTGGCCCCCCAAATTAAATTAATGACTGAACACTTTGTGAATCAGTCTTAGTAGAAGATGGCACTCATGCTTTCATACACAGCACTAAAGGGCCTAGGCATTACCATGCTCTTGAAGGGGCTGTAACCCTATTCCTACTGCTAAAGGACCACAAATTTTAATAATTAATATTTATATACAGAGTTTATGAGATATTGGTTCTTGGGTATTACCTTATATTGTCAGGAAAATACAGTTTATGGTAAGAGCATGTTTGTCCTCTTCCAGTAAATTCTGGATCTTGGTGATGTTTAATATACCGAGCATGCATGGAGGACATCCTGCCAGAACTCCTTAATGTCTGACTTTACCAGTACCAATATGGTATCTGTAAATGGAGGTTGGAGCAATGATATCAGTATTGATATTTAATGAAGCGCTCCGACATACTTTACAGTGATGTTTCTATCTACCACCAAACTAAGCTCACATGCTTAGCGTCAGTCATTCATTACTCATTGCTGTCAAACTGAAACTGATTGGTTGGTTGATTTCCAATGGCTGCATTTGGGATCATTTAACCCATTTTGCTTCTTGCTTCCCAGTAGAGAGCACTCAAGTTCTTTCTTTGTTGCATCTTGAAGAAGTTTCAGTTTTTCTTTTGGGAAGCTTTGCCAGGTTTGTTGCTCATTTTGCACTACCCAGGGGACACGTATGACTTAAAGAATGTCACAGACATTGTTCTCCATCAAACTGAAACTTTAAGTGTGGATTTTTCATGGTTGTTATGTTATTTTACCTTTTACAAAATAAATATCTTAATAAAAGTTCCATATTTTCTTAAGATGTTTCTGAGAAAATAGGGTGTGTAAGTGTGATGGATCCATCTGGCTTAACATGAAGCCCAGTGATGAACTCTTTTAAACACAATAATGAATCTTCAGGTTCCATAAAGGCAGAGAATTTCTTGACAAGCTAAGTAATTATAAACTTCTCAGGAAAGTCTCTGGTCCAAGGAGTTTGTTATAGGCAAAATTTTAGGACTGTGCAGTAATTTGCATTAGCGCCATTCCCATCACACACATCTGCACAGTCATCATAATGGTATTATTTACGGCAATAAATTAAAAAGTATGTACTTGCAGTAGGCTCTGATAGGATGATGTTCATGTCATGTTTCATGAAAGTTTATCAAGTGGTTAGAAGGATGGACATGCTCACATAACGATACTGTATGTCTGTCTTTCATTAAAAATTACAAACAAGACAGTGAGACATATCTCTGAGGTTAAGTCTTAAAACTTCAATTTATAAGTTTCTCTAGCCTGTCTGTACAGAAGTCCTTCAAAATAAACAACAGTGTGGCAATAAGTTATGATTTTGAAGTGGACAGATGCTAATTCTGTATTTCACAGGAGTGAAATATTTTTAACTGTGTGGCCAGTCTGTACAGTATTATCGATACATCAGTAGTAACCACAAGCAGTAGACTAACATTATATGACTGATCAATAGGGACCAGATTTTTATCCCCTAATAATCCCTTGTTGGGAGCCGGGATAGTGTATTCAGTATAGCGACAGGCTATGGGCTGGACAACCAGGGGGTTGGAGTTCAAGCCCTGGTAGGGTCCAGAGGTCCGCCCAACCTCCTATCCAATGGATACCAGGGGCTCTTTCCCCAGGGATAAAGCAGCCGGGGCGTGAAGCTGACCACTCACCTGCAACTAGTGCCGAGGTCAAGAAAATGTGGATCTATACATCCACTCCCCCATATGCCTATATGGCGTAGTGCTTAATTTCTTAAGCATAGGGACAACTTTTTTTTATAATCCCTTGCTGCCATTCAGTCCAGAGCCTTTTGTCTTCTCATCTGATGTCTGAAAACATAAAAAGTTTAGAATATACAAAACTATAATTTTGCCTGTGGGTCTGTATAGGTGTGAAACTTGGTCTCTGACATTAAGGGAGGAACATGGACTGAGGGTGTTTGAGAACAGGGTGCTGAGGAGAATATTTGGACCCAAGAGAGATGACGTGACAGGAGGTTGGAGAAAAGTGCATAATGAGGAGCTTCATAACTTATACTCCTCTCCGGGTATAATTAGAATAATGAAGTCAAGGAGGATGAGATGGGCAGAGCATGTAGCACAAATAGGGAGAAGAGGAATGCATATAGGATATTGGTGGGAAGGCCAGAAGGAAAAAGGACCACTAGGAAGACCAAGGTATAAGTGGGTGGACACTATTAAAATATATCTTAGAGAGATAAAATGGGATGCTATGGATTGGATTGATGTGGCTTGGGATAGGGACCAATGGAGTGTTCTTGTAAACATAGTAATGAACCTTCAGGTTCTTGTGTAGCTGCACAGTTGGTAGCTTCTCAAGAATGGCTCAGCTCCATGAGTGAGTGAGTGAATATTCCCTTAAATATATACGCATTTATGCATGGAAAACTTCCAAAATATGCACATAAAAAGTTCATACCAAATATTAAAATCAATTTTACATTATTCTAAGACAAACAAATCAGTATTTAAGTTAATTTCATGTAGTCACTGAATGGTTCACTTGCAATGAAAAGGTGTACTTAAATACAAATTATGCAACAAAGCCAGCATTTTTTCATTACAAGTTAAAACCAATGGTACTCACATTTAGCTCTCCAAGCTTTCATCTTCTCTTCTGTTGCAGTTCACATTTACTAAATGTTTTTCAAGTGGGATTTGTGGTGGACAAAGTGGTGCTGGGGTAGGTTTTCTCCGAGTACTTCGGTTTCCCCCGCCAATCTTCATTCCACCAAATTTTCCATCATCATAATCACCCAGGGCAGGTACAATAGGCCAATCAGTGGCCACTGTGCTGAGTAGACCCAACTGGAGCCCAGCCCCCACTATGCGAATTTAATTTTAAAAAATGTTTTAGATTTTCCATAGTTAGTTGCCACATATTGTCTCATATGATGTCCTTATAACATGAAAAACTTTCTACCTCACAGGAATTTAAGGGCGCATGTACAAAAGCCACTGTTTGCTGTATTATTAGTGATTTTTTTACTTGGCAGTTCAGTACGTTTACCAGCCATAATTTCTTCAATTTTACAAATTTGTTCATATCCTTGAATTTTTGAAAGAATGCTGTGTTGTTTTTCTTTACTACTTCACCAACTCTTTCAGGAACTGAACTCAAATTGGGAACAGTGGTTTTGAATACACTTAACAACTGATACAAAGTAGTATTGTTATTGCTTACCTCCAGTGAGGAAGTGGCGGATGGAAGATAGGAGAAGTGAGCAGTTATATAAAAAAGATTAGTTTCTAGTTCTGTGTTTTTTAGTACTTCTTGTGCAATTTGAATTGATGCTGCACTTTTGGGATCAAATGTATTCATGACAGTCCTAACTGTTTCTCAGTGTTCGGTATAATAACTCACTGCACAGAGCTACGTGCCCAATTGTGTTAAAATTGGTTCTGGAGGAAGTGGAACATTCGGTACTACTGCTCTAAAGGCTTCTTATCTATATGGTGCTTTAATAAATACCTTCTTCACAGAAGACACCAACTTGTTAACAAGTGGAAAATTTGCATGATTGTTTCTGCAACATGGTGCAACCCATGGGCAAGGCAAGTCACATTATATTCGGCAATATAACTTTAAGAGCAGTGCAGGCTTTGATTGTATATCTTTTGGCATCAGTCACAAAGAGCAATACAGCTCATACTGAATGCCATTCGACCATAGTACATTCATGGAATCGATAAAAATTTGGAAAATGCAGAGCTATTTGTGGTTTCAAATTACTCTACCACAAGAAGATATCGGGTAGATTGTTCATTCTTATTAAGGGATTCAACCATAATATTTGCAATAAATCGTCCCTCACAGTCTTGTGTTTCATCAGTTGAAACTTACACAAAATTATCTTGAATCTTATCTTTAATATTTTCAATTGTAATATAGTAACACTTCTTCATATAATTTTTGGTCATAGTAGATCATCCGGCATTTTGCACTGTGTGTACTTCTCTATGAAGTTTCTCAGAGTAGGATTGGTTACTTTCCACAATGGAATATATGCCGCTAAAAAGGCCTCATGCAAGTAAAAGAACTATAGAAAACTATTATTAGAAAATTCATTAAGCATTTTTTGAACAGGAGCACTTTTTGTGGATTTAATTTTAATATACTCTTTGTGTCAATTGGTGTTCATACTGAAGCATTTGAAAGCGTTTTTCACATACCTGGCAGTAAAGAATTTTGTTATCTGTACTTATCATCTCTCCTCCAAACTCCCGCTGATACAGCTGTTATTTAGTTTTCTTACTTTCACTTTGACATGACTACAAAAAGCTAAACAAACTTAACCACAGACAAGTCACGACTAATATGAATAACCCCCAGCTCCAAATGAAGAAGTGTAGCAAACCTGATGGAAATTTCAGAAGTAAAGAAATGAAATCCATAATCAGTTGAATAGTATTATGTCGTTAGCAGCTACATGTGACTACGCTTCCAGCTGATCCCTTCACAGCCAGTTTGATGGTATGCAGATGAAGCAAGTTAGGAGTAGAGGAGGGACTGGGGAAGTCCCATTTTGGGGAGTCCCATGCTGGGGACTGCATCAGAAACATGAATCCAGAATCAACTTGTTATTTGTATGACAGAATGTTGCGAGTTGAATATGCAGCATATCCTAATATGGAAAAGAAAAATTGTATACACGTGACGATGATTGACAATTTCAACATAAAATTAAAAATATATATAATGATAAACATTTTAAAAGAAAATATGCAGCATAAATAGAGATCTTCAAGAATATTATGTTTATTCATAAAAGAGGCAAAATGTGCATTTATATGCACCAAAAAACCTTGTCTGAAATTCAAGAAATGCAGTAATTCATACATATATCTAAATGAGCATACTTTTTGGTTGCAAGAAAGAAATATGAATTTTCATTGAAATCCAGTCCCTACTGATCAGTGAATCACAGTGATAGATCAAATATTTTCATTGATGTCGTCTTTTTTGTAGCCTCGATTACCATGGCAGACTGGCAAGAGTGGTTTCTCATGGGCCAAGTACTTGGAACATTGCAAAGCCAGAGCAGCTCCTATAAAATTGTTCAAAGATCCTTTTCCATATTCAAAAAATGGCTTCAAAGTTGGAATGAAAATGGAAGGGATTGACCCCGAGCACCCATCCTATTACTGTGTTCTTACAGTGGCTGATGTTCAAGGTGAGTTGTGCATAAATATTAACTATAACTCCTTGGAGCAGAGTCTTTCTTGAAATGCTAATAGTTGCTCACCTAGTAAAGAAATATCCGGTATTTTATAGAACCCAAGGTACATTACCATGTTCACAAAAGCATGCCACTGGGCTCGATATTGAGCCAGATGAATCCAGCCAGACCCTCCATTATTATTTGTCCTTCCATTTATGCCTAGATCTTGCAAGTGGTCTGTTTTGTTAATATTTCTGTGCTAGAACTTTGTATGCATTTCTCATCTCTCCCATGCATATTACATGCCCTTCTTCTTCATCATTAATTTGATCACCCTAGTAATATTTGGCAAGGAGTACAAATTATGAATCCCTTCAACCAAGTTCCAGGTTGGTAACTCTCCTTAAACCTATTTATGTCTCTGTATAGGCATCTGATAATCTTATTCTGTTTATTTGAAGCTCATTAATTTTGGCTTTCACATACCTCCTCCTATTCTTCTTGAAATATCCCTTATCCCATCTGGCCTTCTGTACTTCTGCTAACTATAACTTATACTCTTGTATATTTCTCTTGTTACCGTTTCCATTGAGACTTATCTATACTCTTGACATCCTCTGTTAAAGTGTCACTACAATTTGTGGTTGCTTATGTCATTCCAAACAATCCATCCAAGTATGAGGCCCTGTGTAAGATTGTGTAACATTCCTGTCTCCAAAAGTATATAAGGTATGCCATCTACACAACAATATTCTGTATTTAAAACAAAGAATACACTACTGTATCAACATTTGCTTTTATCAAGTTTTTATAGATGCAGCATGTTTTGACCCTTACACTGGGTCATCATCAGGCATACAGTGCTCCAGTTTGAGCTGATGAATTGCAATTAATTATCATCTAATTCTTCAAATTGGGATCCTTATTGTGTCTTGAAATTATTTAAAATGCATAGATCCATATATTAATTTTGATCAAAATTTTTTAAACTGAAAATCCTTAGATAATAAAAGTAAAGGTATCCTGTAACAGGCTGTGGAGGCTCATAGGGTTGTGAGTTGTTGAGGTTCCCACATTTTCTAGACAGTCGGCTCCTAGATGGCGGCAAGGTTGTCAGCCTTACGTGCCAGCTGCCCTTTACTCCCAAGAATATTTCTGATACTCATTTCTGTCAGAGGCTGAGTCGACCCCAGGGCCATAGTGTGGCTGGAAGGATTAGGTCAATTGAAAAAAATTCAATGAACTCATCGGGACTTGAACCCACGTTAAAATTAAAGATATAAAGATTGAAATTAGAAACTAAAGATTAAGACATGGAAGTTAAAATTCTTTTTTTTATGGTAAGACTCTACAGCTGCCAAATTTTATTATCTAAGGATTTTTGGTTTTAAAAATTTTGACCAAAACTTAATATATGAATTTATGTATTTTAAATCATTTCAAGACACAGTAAGGATCCTTATTTGAAGAATTAGATGATAATTACTTGCCATTCATCAGTTCAAACTGGAGCACTATATGCCTGATGACCCGGTGTAAGGGTCGAAATATGTTGCATCTGTAAAAACGTAGTAAAAGCAAATGTTGATACAGTATTGTCTTTTTTGTTTTAAATACGGATTATTGTTATGTAAATGACATACCCTATATACTTTTGTATATCTTATTTATGACACACCACAGGATGCACACTCTTAACTCTTTGACTGGCGCGGGCGTGTTTTAACGCCCGGACGATGCCAGCCGTTCCCTGGCGTTGGCGTGTTTTAACGTTTTGACAATCTCGTCCCTTCTTTGCTCTCTTGGCACTCATCAACCAAAGACATATATATGATAGTTTTTGTGCATGTTTGTAGAGAACCCTTGTAAACTTTGTGGGGGTCTATATTACTGTCAGAACCCTCTGAGAAGGTAAAGGTCAGAAAATATTTCACATTCATTCAGTTTCACCATAGCTTCTTGCAACAAGTGTCTTCGTGTTCCTACAGACCAGCTGGAAAATGTTGTGAACGAGATTTTTTCTGATGATGATAGTGGCGATGAAATAATGATTCCTGAATTGGATGACGTTGATAGTGACAATAATACAGTGATAGACAATGATCCACAAGACAGTAATCATGAACATTTACCTACCACGAGTGCGGTGCCTGACACGCCCCTCTCATGAACGTACGGAGACATTGTACCCCCAATATTTCCATTTGCTAATAGTTTCGGGATCAAAATTGATATAACACATAAAATACATCCCTTTTCATGGATTAAAATTTTTTCTGGATGACGACTTGGTAAATCACATCACAACTGAAACCAATCACTATGCTCACCAGCACTTCAACACACATGAGTTACCTCATCACTCTCGAAAACACAATTACAATTATGTCACATCAGATGAAATGTGGACATACTTAAGAATTGTGTTCATGACAGGAATCGACAAACGCCCTGAAATTGAAGAATATTTGTCCACTAGGCCCCTATTTCACACCCATGGTTTGGACAAAACATGTCTTTGCGGTTGAATAGTTTCATTCTATTCAAAAAGAACACAACAAACGAAAAATACAAGAAGAGAAATTACAGATTCAAAGATTTTATATTGGACTGTGTAGAAAAATGACTGAACCAAACAAACAGTGTGGAGAGGGAGAAAAGTCAAGGAATGAAGTGGATGACGAATCTATTGGGTCAGACTAGAGTGCAGTCACGCCTCCGCCCTCGACCTTGAAAAGACCACCAGTGAAAGAGCCAGCAAATCGTCTAGAGGGTGGCTTGAAAATTCACAAAATGGTCCATGTTCCTAACAGTAACAATAAGAAGAATGGTGCCCTGAGAAAGTGTCGCGTGAGTGCTAATCACAAGGTTAGAAAAGAAACAAGTATCATGTGTGCAGGCTGTGGTGTGGCTCTCTGCAAACTTTCATGTTTCAATGTTTATCACACGAAGAAAAACAAATAAAGAGGTGTGGAAAAGCATTTATTGCATAAAATATTGTATTTTAATTAGTTCCTAAAAATTTCGTTTTTAAAAACCAATTTTTGTTGAAGTTGTTTAGGAAAAAGTAACTACATGCATTTTAGCGACATAAGGTTTAAAGGGCCTGCCAGGACAGGGGTGAGATTTAAATACCCTCCGTGCCAGTCAAAGAGTTACCCCCATGCCGGAAGATCACCCCTTGTCATCTTGTATTCCTTATTCAGTATATTCACAGTTGCCCTCATCTGTACATATAATAACAGACAACAGCAAAGAAACTAGTGGATAAATTTGATAGTTGCCCTCTTTTGACAGGTTATAGGATAAGGCTTCATTTTGACGGTTATTCTGACAACTATGACTTCTGGGTGAATGCGGACTCAATGGACATATTTCCGGCTGGATGGTGTGAGAAAAATAATCATCGTCTCCATCCCCCACGAGGCTACACACTTACCACTTTCAACTGGAGTAGCTACTTGAAGCATTGTCGAGCTCAGGCTGCCCCACGGAATCTGTTTGCCAATAAGACTGGCAGTGTAAGCGATAGATTTTTAATTATAATTGCATCCTACTTAAAGCAGGCATATATTCATATATCCTGTGCATGGAAGGGGACAAATCATGATTACCAGTACCATCAATATATGTTGTTTTAAGTGTACATAACCTCAAACAGTGCCATTAATTGTATTAATCTGGGCAAACTACTGTCTCACCTCTTAATATTGATTTCATATAACTGTATTATCAATGCTAAGCTATGCTGAAAGTTAACACTGGATATCAGGGCCCAAACGCAGGCCTAGTTTGTTACTTTTAGTTTGTAAAGCATATATCAACTTAAGCTTCATAATTTCCATTCAGTATATCATGTTCTTTTTAAATGTTTATAAGAGTTTATAATGATGAGAGTGAAACGTGTCCTGTGAAGTTCGAAGTCAAATACAGCCTCTTCACCCATTAAATTTCATATTTAAGTTTTAGAGTTAAATATATGTCATCATGAAAGCACAAAGGACAGATCATATACATTACTGCTCTGAGAAGTTCCCTTCATTTAGGCACATTTCATTACAGTGCAGAGGTGATCATTAGTCTTACTATGTCTACCATAAACACATTACAACAGTTATGGAACTACTCAGTTCAGCTCATGCAACATCATTGTTCCATAAGAGTGTAATGTAGGGACCACTGATATAGATGAAACACCCCTATTTATGATACAGTAAGTGTGCATTAAAATACAACATTATGGCTGCGCCATAGCTCAAGCAGTTAGTTGCTGGCTTCCCACTGCTGCAGGGTGGGTTTTCTCCGAGTACTTCAGTTTCCCCTGCCAATCTTCATTCCACTAAATTCTCCATCAGCATAATCACCTGGGGCAGGCTACAATAGGCCAGTCAGTGGTCGCCATGTCGAGTGGACCCACTTGGACTCCACCCCCCACTATGTGAACTTAAGAAAAAATTGAAAAAATTTTAAAAAATACAAAAATTATGTCCTAGTGATTAGAATCATACCTAACGATGTAGACAGATATAACCTCCAAAATCTTTTTATTTAGATAATGGATAATGTCTGAAGAAAATATTCTAAGGACAATGCTGTTATCTTTCTTGTTCTGTGCATTCCGCAGTCAATCTGTCCAAATGGTTTCCGTCTGGGAATGAAGCTGGAGGCTGTGGACCGGAAGAACTCTTCACTGGTGTGTGTAGCAACAGTAGCAGAACTGATGGATAACAGAATTCTAGTTCATTTTGACAGCTGGGATGATATATATGACTACTGGGCTGATCCAATGTCACCATACATACATCCAGTGGGCTGGTGTGAGGAACATGGACATACACTTACACCACCAAATAGTGAGTGTCGTCATCATCCATCCCACTATCAAAGGATGCATTAGAAAACAGAATCTTTCCATCTGTTGGGACAATATACTTCTGTGGTTTCCACAGTTCTGTTCTTTATGGACATACTTGTTAATGAGTTTTATATAATTGTGTATGTGTTCTTACAGCCATGAATATAAAATTGCCTCTTTTCCACACCTCAAATTTATCTTTATATTGTAGATTACAGCAAAGGTGGAAGTAGCAGATCATTTTCATGGGAAACCTACCTCAAAGAGACCAAGTCTGTAGCTGCTCCAGCACGAGCATTTAAGCAACATCCACTCAGTGGTTTTCGTCGAGGCATGAAGCTAGAGTGTGTAGACAAGCGAGTACCCATGCTAATTCGAGTGGCAACAGTGGATGATGTTGGAGAACATCAGATCAGGATAAAGTTTGATGGCTGGCCAGACCAATACAGCTACTGGATAGATGATGATAGTGCTGATATTCATCCTATGGGCTGGTGTCAGAAGACAGGACATCCTCTTGAACCACCACTAAGTAAGGCTAATTTGTATCAAACTGACAGACAGTAGAACCATTTGTGCTTTAATGTATTTTGATTATTTTTTCAAGTCAGAAAATAAATTAATCTAGATATACCTACCCAACCACTTGGCACTACAGCCCTGGGTGAGCCTTGGCCTCCTCTACAACCAGTCTCCACAACCAGTGCATGCTGCCACAGGAATGGACCCACGCATGATGACCTGAGGCTGGTTTTTAGGTTTCTGAACAAAATTCCTTTTGCAGGATGAGATTGACAGCCTCATACTCAACCCCCAACCTGGAGGACCAGGGTATCTGCATTCAAGTTCTAAGGTCTCTGATTTTTTTCTCACACAATAATCATACAAAAAATTTGAAACTTCTGTCAATTTTCAACGTAATCTCCCTGCAGCCGTAGACATTTTTCACAACGTCGATGCCATGATTCCATGGCTGCTGCAAACGCTTCTGTAGGAGTCTGTTTTGACCACTGGAAAATTGCTGATGCAATAGCAGCACGACTGGTGAATGTGCGACCATGGAGAGTGTCTTTCATTATTGGGAAAAGCCAAAAATCACTAGGAGCCAGGTAAGGTGAGTAGGGAGCATGAGAAACCACTTCAAGGTTGTTTTCATGAAGAAACTGCTGCGTCGCGTACAGCCGATGCGCTGGTGCATTGTCCTGGTGAAAGAGCACACGTGCAGCCTTTTCCGGCCGTTTTTCTCGCAGTGCTGGAAGGAGCTTGTTTTTCAAAACATCTTGGTAGGATGCACCTGTCACTGTAGTGCCCTTTGGAACGCAATGAGTAAGGATTACACCATCGGTGTCCCAAAACATGGCCACCATCATTTTTTCAGCACTGGCGCTTACCCAAAATTTTTTTGGTGGCGGTGAATCTGTCTCAATCCATGTCTCAATTGATGAAAAGAAAGTCCCATTCATGCCTTCATCATGTGTCAACATTGCCTGGCAAATTGCCATGCGCACAGCCTTGCGGTCGTCCGCCAGCAATCATGGCACCCACGTGGAGGATTGTGTGCACAGATCCCATGGAAATGCCAACTTTGGAGGCGATGTTTTCCACACTCAATCGGTGATCCTCCAAAACAACTTTCTCAACTCGTTCGACCATGTTGTCAGACCAGCTGGTGCGAGGCCAAGATTGTTTTGGTTCGTTGTCACACGATGTTTGGCCTTCTTTGAACTGTCGCACCCATGAACGCACATTTGTCACATTCATGACACCATCACCACATGTCTCACTGAACTGGCGATGAATTTTAATGGGTGTCGCAGCATGCAAGTGGAGAAAACGAATGATTACTCGCTGTTCTTGTAACAAAAACGTCGCCATTTTAGGTATCAAAAACACTCCTCATCTCGCCACCACCACTAGAGTTCTGTGTGCCGTACAGTGCTGCCATCTCTGTCACATATTCACAAAGAGTGCACACGTATTTTAAACTAAACCGCATGTGTCTCTCTGCTCCCAGTCCTGAGAAAAAAATCAGAGACCTTAGAACTTGAACGCCCCTCGTAGTCTGGACTCTACCCTTTTACCTTTCCGGCATCGGTGACCCTACCAGTAGTTAAACTACCGCCAGCATAGCTCTCCAGGTTACAGTCATGCAAGCCCCACCACCACAACATGGTGGAGACACCTTTGGGGGGAATCTAGATATAAGTGTACATAAGAACCTTAAGAACATGTCACAAAATCAAAATCAGTACTTCAGTAACAAAATGACAATGAATTATTTAAAAACATGTTAGATTAAATGCAGCATAACCCCCATTTAATATTCCCCGATTTAAGGTTGTCCCTCATTCAGCTTTCAAATTCATTGATCCCAAGTCAATAATCTCGGTGTTAAATTTCCTCCATTTAGAGCAGGGATAGGTCAGTCGTTATAGTGATGGGCTATGGGCTGGACAGCCGAGGTTTGATTTCCAGAGGGGGCAAGACTTTTCTTTTCTCCAAAGCATCCAAACTGGCTCTGGTGCCCACCTAGCCTCCTGTCCAATGGGTAGTGGGGGCTCTCTCCCTGGTGTATGCAGCTTTCTCTTTTAAATTCTTCCTCAGTTAGTGTTCAAATCCACTACTCCCCAAAGAAACCTTAAACTGGGGTTTCTCTATGTCTGGTATCAACCACAAATAAAAATAAGTTTGATTCTCAATCAAATTAAAAGAATAAATCATTTCAAATGCTCATCATCTTGTCTGGTTTCAAAGGCACCAGGGATTACAGTAAATAAGGTAATTTTATTTTTCAATTTGTTTTGTGTGAAAGATGTCTCTACAGTATGTGACTGAACTTACATGCATTTAAAAATGAATTTCCAGTGAAAGTATGCAGACCTAAGACTCTGTATTGTGTATAATTGCACTATTGAAATAACACTCAAGAAGTTCAGTATTTTAATATAGCTGTATGATGGTCTCCTCTCTGTCCACAGCCCCAGAAGAACTGGGGGAAACACCTGAATGTCCAACACCTGGTTGTCATGGGCTTGGACATGTGAAAGGTGCCAAATATGTGAGTCATCATACTGCTGTCAGTTGTCCGTATTCTCCTCAGAACCTCAACAAGGAGGGTCTTATTCCAGATAGGATACTTAGCAAAACAGACCAAGGTGAAAGCAAGGAAGACACGATATCTAGAGAAAGGAGGTGAGTTTGTGCTATTCCTGTACAGGTTACCTTTCTTCTGCATAAGCCAGAATTGCAGAACCAGAGAATACATCCATTGCTAGCCGATGGCTCTGTAAACACATTTTCACGGCAACTAAAGCAAGTGAATGCTGCAACACATACACATTCAGCAATAGAGGAACTGTTGGAGGCAGTGTTCGCTGTTGGGTCCCTGCTTAAGCTATATACTGGGGACCAGACCTAATGGTCTTGGGCCCCATATGGGGCTTGACACCTAGACTGACCACCGTCATAAATGAATGAACTGAATTCTTGTCAACTGTTGAGGGAATTTTCTTTCATTTAGTTTATTATCCAGTTAATTCCATTAAGAAACATCGTTTCCTTTGTAGTAAACCTGCTGAGGGTAAGAACCCTGTTGGTCGACCACCTAAATGGCGACGTCTTGAGTTGACTGAAGACTCAAAGGCTGCATCTCAAGATCCTGATTGGAAGCTATATGATGAAGACAGCAGTGAAAGGCGGAGAAAGAAAAGGTAATAAGTTCACTGTATATATGCAGAGAATATATAGGAATTATAACAATGCAATATGGAAGAGAGAAAGAGAAGTAAAGTCCTTGCATTGGATGACTTTTGAGAAGTTCTGAGGGAAGAACAAGAAGGGATATATAAGAGTTGTTTGGATGAAACTGATTCACATGTTAAGGTAAAAACATCAAGGCTGCAGTGATGTAGTACTTACAATAGCAGCCCAGGGAATTCTTTTAACAGCCTCTGCTCCTTCCCTCAGAGCATTCTCTGAAGAGGATTCATTCGAACAGACCTTGTAATTAGAAATGGAACTTTAGAGAAGAAACTGGAATCCACAGTCTAGCAACAGAATTAAAAGGAAAGAGAGCTGTGGCACATGACTCAGAACAAGGTGGTTGGTAGAAATGTTATGATGTCTGTTGTTGCAGAAGACTCCTTTCTCAAGAGGAACAAGGGGTAACAACTGCAGCAAAGCCCCCCGTTGGTGTCGCTTCCGTACATCCCAGTGTCGACACAGATCCCACATGTCAAGAGATGCGACAGTCAGTAATGAATCCGGGGTATGAGGTGAAGCCTGACCACCTCAGTCCAAATATATGGGCCAAACATTCACGCTACCTAAACCAGTATGTTCAAGCAGTGAAAAATGGCAATCCAAATATGTGGTCAGTAGAGCAGGTGGCTCAATTTGTATGGTCTATTCCAGATTGCTGTCATGTAGCCCAGAATTTCAAGGAACAGGTGAGTGATTCCTATCACTTCAGTTGTTCAGTTGTTTACTTATTTTAACAATAAAATTTCAGTATAGTGAAACAGAATTTTTGGCTCTGCTATGATATACCACTGTCAGTACCAACATTTACCAGTGGAGTCTGATTTATCAGCCTTCAGTCCTGGTGACTATCAGGCTTTCTGTCCTGTGGGATGTGATTCCATGTAGTAGTAAATAGGTGCCAACATTTCAGAGGAACCTGATGATTCCACCTTCAGGATAGATAGAGGCAGCATGTTCCTTTGAAAGTATGGTACATATCTACTGGAATACACAGTCACATCCCAGAAGAGAGTAATCTTTTCTGTGACATTCTGAACTTCATTAAATTGATTTTGGAACTGATGGTTCAGCAGAATGTATTTCCAGCACTGAGCAGCTGTGTGAGTGTTAGTTTAAGTGGTTTCTTCCATTTAAGCGAAACAATGTTCTTATCCCTTTTAAAAGTATTCTAAGTAGGAACTGTTTCTTAAGATTATTTAAGGAACTGTACAGACATACATGAATTAGTCATTATGTCTGCACATTTAGCTAATATTTTATGTAAGATAATCAATCTTTTTATTCCTACAAGTTCAGCTAGTTTCATGTTTCACCAGCAATTATTTTATTCTAACTTTTCTTCATGCAAGTTTCAGAGTGATATATCTCTTAAGTTTTGCACTGCTTACTGAAATACACCTTTATATTTGTTGAAAGGCTAAAGTGCTGCTGTATTAGCCCCAAGATTAGAAACTTTACCTTCAATTTACTCCCTTTTTCTATTGTTGCAGCAAATTGATGGAGAAGCATTACTAATGATGGCACAGAATGACCTTGTTCAATACATGGACATGAAGCTTGGACCAGCAATAAAATTGTATAATAGCATAGTGCTCCTTCGACAACGGACTAAGCAGAGTTGAGAAGAAAGAATCCCTAATTATGTACAATGGCATTTCATTCAATAATCACGTCTTTCATACTCTCTAAGAAATTCACATCCATCCGTATTTTGTTTCACTGAAAGAAACAAGTTCAGTTTCTACATATTTTTTTCTTTCTTCCTGTGTTATGTTTATAGTATGTTATGTAAATATTATCCAGTATAGTATGCTTTACATATACTGTACTTTGAAAGTGTTTTTAAATAAAAAAATTCTGAATGTTAATATTTATTTATTTCTTCCATGTTTTGGTTGCGGCACTATGCTACAAGCCGGAAGGTCGCAGGTTCAAGTCCCAATGAGGTCACTGGATTTTTTCAATTGAACTAATCCTTCCAGCCACACTATGGCCATGGGGTCATCTCAGCCTCTAACAGATAAGAGTACCAGGAATTAATTAAATAATTTTCCTGAGGAGTAAAGCGCGACAGGCGCATAAGGCGGATAACCTTACCGCCATCTTTGAGCCGACTGTCTAGATAATGTGCGACCCTCAACGTCTCACAACCCGTTACAGGGATAGCTCTACTTTTACTTGACTTTTTGTGGTCTTGTGGGTTGACACTATGCAGTCCTCTAAGTGTATACCAGTATTTTGCAGGAAAATTTTGAGGACTGAAGAGAACAGGATGAAAATGCAGTTAGGCCATGTAGTCATGCTATAAGGAAAGTCGTCCATCAGGTCCATGGGAGCGGGAAAACAAACAGAACCTGACCTAAGCCAGTAAGAGTGAGAGAAACAACAGTTCCTTGAACTCTGCCTTTGTAACATAACTGCATCTTCATCCTATTCAATTTTCCCCTGAAGATGGAGGCAGCATGTTCCTCCAAAATATTGGTATCCTCCTACAGGACTGCAGTCTGAGCAATTACTGCCATGAAAATGTTTAGAAAAAGGTAAATAATGGCTCCCCTAAAATAATTGGTTTATTTCTATATCAACACTGCGTCAACTGCAAAGGATTATTCTGGCAAGAAATGCCATGATTTACAGTGAGTGCCAAGTCATTGTCTTCCATCAACTTTATGTACTCATGAGATACAATTTACAATATCGTAACTAACTTCATGGAGAGCTCCATAGCCCCACTTGACAAGCTGCCAATTGTGCAGCTACTCAAGAACTTTCCAGATATTTATGGAACCTGAAAGTTCATTTCCATGTTCACAAGAGCCTTCCACTGGTTTTTATCCTGAGCCAGATCAATCCACTCCATCCTATCTAAGATCCATTTTGATACTATCCACCCACCTATGTCTTGGCCTTCCCACTAATATCCTATATGCATTCCTCCTCACCCCCATTTGTGCTACATGCCCTGCCCATCTCATCCTCCTTGACTTAATCGGTCCAATTATACTTGGCAAAGCGTACAAGTTATGAAGCTCCTCATTAAGCAGTTTTCTCCAACCTCCCATCATTTCATCCGTCTTTGCTCTGAATATTCTCAAACACCCTCAGTCTTGTTCCTCCCTTAGTGTCAGAGACCAAGTTTCACACCCATACAGCACCACAGGCAAAATTACACAAGTAGTTTTGTACATTATAATTTTTATGTTTTTAGACAGCAGAAGGAAAGACAAAGGGTTCTAGACTGAATGGTAGAAAGCATTACCCGAATTCAATCTCCTCTTAATTTCCTCCTCAATCAGATTTTGATTTGTTATAGTCGTTCCCAAATATTTCAACTGTGCCAGATGTTCAAAGGATCAGTTATCTATCTTTATGTCATGATTTTACCCTGTATCCTGGTGATGGGACATCAACATATACTCAGATTTCCCTGTGTTTACTAGCATCAATTAAAATTTGTATGTTTCTCTTTATGGTATATACACTATTACCCAGTAGAGTCACATCATCAGCACAGACCAGCAGCTGATATCTCCCATTTAATTTCAGTCCAATCCTAAAACAAAGTTGAAAAGCAGTGCCGATAAAGCATCTCCTTGTTTTCACCATTATGGATAGCAAAATTATCAGACAACCGTCTACCTATATGGACTTTACTGTACATTTTGTTTAAACACAGTTTAATCAGCGTAACTAGTTTCATGGGTACTCTAAACTCCGTGAGAATATGGTACAATACTTCCCTCTTAACTGAATCATAGGCTTTCTTCAAGTCTACAAATAGTTGATGTACTGTCTCACTGTACTTCAATTTTTTCCCAGGATATGAGAAATACAAAAGATCTGTTATCAAAACCCATACTGATGATCCCAAATAATTCCATCTGTATATAAACTTCACCTTCAGAGAAGAATATTGGATAAAATTTTATGTCAAGTTGAAAGCAGTGATATTTTATCACCCTTCTTGTGAACTGGTACAATAATAAGACTCATTCCACTGATCAGGCAATTCCTCCTTATTCCAAATAGAATTAATGAGCTTATGGAGCTCAGACAGTAATGTTTCACCTCCTGCTTAAATCAGTTCTGCCAGAATTTGATCACTACCTGGCTGTCTATACCTTTTAAACTTTGCAATAGCAATTTCAACCTCAAAAGGATAAGGATCAGGCACTACCAGCTCAGATGTATGTATTTCTCTTTGTCTCACATCACTGGCCCTGTGTACATTCAATAACAGAGTTCTTCCACCTATTCAAAATGTTGTTGGAATCTGCAAGCATCTTGCACACTGTCCCAGGTAATACAAGTCTATGCAAGAACAACGTTAACAATGTAGGACTTCCGATTGCTAAATCATCTGCCATGAAATATTAAAGAAATACCGGTACCATATAAGTTAAAAAACGCTTTGAAAACTTACCTACTCGATCATTGTTTCTATAAAGTGGACGAGTTTCTCTCGTGTGAGACAAACACTAATCAATTATAATCACATAATTAATGAATAATCAGTTTTGGGAATTCCTACTGCGCAGTTTTCCTTTCTTTTTTCCAGCAACCAAGATAATACAGTCGCAGATGTACCTGAATGGGCTACTCTGCAGAGACTGCAGATACCAAGAAGCTGCACCAGGAAGGGAGAACAGATGTAATGAGATGTTGCAATGAAGAGTCTACAGTGAAACGTTATACCAGTGCTATCACCAAATGCACCAATATTATCTCAAAGGCCGTGCCATAGCTTAAGTGGTTAGTCGCTGGCTTCCCACCGCTGCGGTCTAGTCAAGTGGGATTTGTGATAGACAAAGTGGCGTTGGGACAGGTTCCCTCCCCCCAAGTACTTCGGTTTCCCCTGCCAATCCTCATTCCATCAAATTCTCCATAAGCATTATCACCAGTACAGGTACAATAGGACATATGGAAGCCGACATGCCGAGGGGACCTAATATGGATTCCACCTCAAACTATACAAACTCTTAACTACTGTAATCTATTAATAAATAAATAAATAGATCATCATTCTCATCCTTTGCTAAGTTACTTCTAGGTTTGTAACCCCTCTTAAATACACTTATTCCCTTACAGAGGTCTCTAAATGCTCTTTCATTGTATACTGACATCAAATTAACTGCTGTAATATGGTGACTGTGAATAGAGGTAGGACAATCAAGAAAGTGTTCATGGTGTGTTCTGAGATATCTGTTCAAACAAGGGACTTGGATAGCCTCTTAGAGTAAGAAAAGAATAAAGTATGTGCATGATATTGAGAACATAACATTGCTCAGGACACAGACTGTCAGTATTATTCTGATATTACATATAACTTAGTACATCCAAATTATCCAAAATATAATAATGGTGTGACTGAAAGATTATGAATGCTACAGTTACAATATAACTAAAGACTTCAAAATCCAGAACTAATATTTGAACAATCACCCAACTTTAAGGTTCAAGGCAATTGGCAGAACAGCTTTACAAGATATTAGACAATTACCATGCTGAATTCAAGTTTTATTTACTTTCACTGACATAAACCATATTGGTCTATTTGAAGCACATAATTTCTATGTTGATATCATACACTGTCAACTGCAGAGAATATGTAAGGCTCATGGAGAAACTGATGGGGGAACATGGGAGATTGGAATTCAGCCATCATAAGATCTCATCTTTTCCTTGAAACCAATGGCTAAAGAAAACCACGAAAACTTACATCATGATTGGTTTTTGCATGCAAATCTGACATGTTCGGCCCTCAAGTGGGATATTTTGGGTTATAACGCCGGGTAGTTCAGAGAAAGACCAATTTTTCAGAAAAAAAAAACACATCGGCATATTGGCCCCTGCTCCCACTAGTTTACTGCTTGGCTTACTCTTCCATCCTGACGATGGCGGCGATATGTTCATCCGAATTACACAGCGTTTGAACACTGGGCACCGCATCCTTCATCACAAATCACTACCTAGCCACCGACAAGAACATTTACAACTACCCTCATACCATCTTTCCCCCGCAATGCTTTATTTCAGCTCATAAAGGTAACCATTTAATTGGCTCTGAAGATTATTTTTGATTCAGATTCATGTCTCTACACTCAGCTGCGATCAACTGCTCTAATACCATAACAGAACCGACCCTGGTAATGTAAAGTGTAACTATAGATGGCTCCAGTTTAGCTTTTACGCCTCTGCTTCCCACATTCAGAGCCAGCGCCAAGTTTAACCTCTCAAACACGTGCACCTGTTTTCTGTAACCTTCTGCAATTGTCAAATATTATTTAGCACTGTAAACAATACTCCCAAATTTTAATCTGTTAACTTTCACTGAAGCACCATTCAACTCTGCTTTGGCGTCTTTCGTGAATGAATATTCTACGAAAACAACTTTACATTTGATATCCTATCCATGTGTTCCTAGGAACTTCTTTTGGATAATTCTGAGCGCCGGTGATTATTCATCGCGGGTAACCTACATTTGTTTACGACAGTCCTTACCGTTTGTTGCATTCGTAATGCAAAATGAGTTGCTCGGATATAGTTTCTTCCATTGCCATCACACCCAAATTCGTTGCATGTGCACAACCACTGCTGACAGTTCCATAATTATCTTGTTCTTTTTATAACCTTTTACATGGAGTAGTCCATTCTGTGTGTCCAGTTTTATAAACTGCTATAAAAGTCGCATATTAGCGCCAATAACAATAAATGTCACAACCGAAATATATAACTATTTATGTCAACATCTGAAAGGTTGAAAGACCAACACTAACACACAACCAGCAGACATAATTTTTCCAGTATACCAACCCTCCCACTGTCGTCCAATCAGGAACATTTATATCACGGATCATAAAATGGAGTTTAGTATTTTGTGCAGTTCAAAATCACAGAGAAAATATTGTTACAGGTGGGAATTTTCGAGAAAGAATACCACTCAAAGTAATATAGATTTCATATTGTAAAAGAGTAATATTTGCAAAAACTTTAAAAATAGATTATAAATCGATACATTATGATCCAGTGTGGTAACTGAACCATGGATCAACATGAAGTATCCAAATACAACACTGATTTGGAAATTGGGACGCATTACGAATGCCACAGTGCAACGGATTTCAGTATGAACTACAGTGTTCTGGAATTAGAAAATGAGTTATATTCATAGCAAATGATAGAATAATAAAACCTTATTTAATAATGATAACTATGTTTGTGGGAAGGGCGCAATTTACATGTTCACACACATCTTTGTTGTAATAAGTTTGACAGTCTTGAAAAGCCAGTATTCTGTGATAATTAAATTACACATCAATTAAAACGATTACCTAATTTTTCGCAGCACACAGACCAAAAGTTACTAGGTTTTAAATTTCAAAATAGAAATGCCATTTGGGGGTTCGGTATGGTCTAATTAACAATTTAAATAATTAGGTCATCAATGGAATGATTACTTCAACAATCAGACCAGATTCAAAACCACAAAAAGAATCAACCAAATTCCAGCCAAAAACAAGGGCAATGAAGTTCTAACACCAGACTAAGTTTTTGTTATCTGTTACTTCTACATACACCATATCCAGCTGGAACTACTATTAAACACAAAGGAACAGAATTCCTGCTTTTTTCACTTATGAGACAATAAACATTAACTTAAAAGTGAGGCATACATCCCAGTCAGCCTGATCATGGTCCTTAGATGAGGATTTTATTTGTACCATGGTGAGTTTTATACTGTAGTCATTTGGGTCATAACACAAAGTAATCTGGTAGGTTATTGCCTACCAGTTTGTGTTATACTATTTCTCAAAACAGTCTAATTCTGAGGTCAAACCCCGACAGTCCAGACATGGTCCATACTTCCTGTCTGTTAGGCCCATCTTCAAATTTTGATACAAACAAAAATGTGATTCATTTTTTGTCTTTCTTTTGTATCTGCTATTCAGGCATCTTGCGTTGTGGAAGTTGATTCAAGTGCACTAGTGCCAAAGGTAGCCAACCCTTCATCTAATCAGTCCTTAGGTACTGATTGTAGCAGTTCAAATCTAAGGAGAGTTAATTACTTTTTTATTGCTTTAGTTAAGCAGGAATTAATAGAGATCTTTACAGCAATTAATTAATTGATTTCTACATTACTGTTAAAATAACACAAGTGGTAGTTCCATTCCTCGCTTAAGAAAGAACATTGTAACAGTCTTGCATTCAGTCAAAAGGCAAGATGCTACACCGAGTTAATTAGAATTTTGAGACACCAGAACAATGTGGCTTTACTTTTATTATGGCAGAGATGCCAGATTTTTGCGCTCATAAACTAAATGTGTGACGGCCCAGGTTGAAGCTTTCAGTGACATTAATCTAGTTCCAGTCAAAACACTGTTGGTCTTTAAAAGCAAGACTTGATTGCAATTTTGTGTTATTTGGAAGATGTAAAAACCTAGGACCTCCTAGAATTTGAATATGCCCAATTGGGATCCGAAGCAGAACTTACCTCCTTTGAGCAGATTTGAGATGCAAAACATCTCGAAGACCAAGTTTGATAGGGGACTCTGTAAGATGCCGTTGTAGTGTACAGACATGCTACACAGTCACCCTGATACAAATTCAAATTTTCTAATTACCTAGCCTTTAGAACTTCAAAGACGATATCTTACTGTAGTTAGCTTTTCGGATATTTTAAAAATTACCAAGCTGGAACTTCATTGAAAGTGTGTGAACTACTAATTACAGCAATTAAAAAACTTGGTGGCTGATCCTACAAGTGTCAATAAATATTCAAACAGTGACCATTTGTGTTTATTTTGTGCTATGGTTCAGTATGAAGAAGTTTCATTACCATTCCATATACAATTTGTGTTACTGATACCTGTCAAAGACAAGTTGCCTTATCAGGTTTTCTCATCTTCAAACAAATTAGCAATCGTTACTTAAACTAAAAATTGGGCAAGGGATAAAACTTCAAGTCTCAATATTTTATTAGTATTCCACACCATGCTTTCTTTACTTTGGGACTAGTTGAAAATGATTGCCAAGATAGGCTTACCTGGTACCCAATGGGAAAGTAAAGTTCAAGAGCCAATTTTGACACAATGGTAAAGAATCACCCATCACAGTACTTTTAACAAAATCAATGAATAGTTATGCATAATTATTCCTCAATAATTTTTATTGTATGACACTAATACTTGGATGTGGAGGTTCTAAACACAATCTTTACCTACACTGCATGGTAAAGGTGGCCTAAGGTTGAAGTTGCAGTGATTTCTTTCGTTCATTCAATAGACTGCTTTGTGAAAATGCAAAGATTTCTACACTCATTACAATGAACATCAAACAAACTTGAGTTTTTGAAAATATTCATTTTCTGATTCATGAAAACATTCAGACAACTAGGCAGAAAATGTCACTATACCATAGCAGTCATGGAAACAGCAACAAATTGTGAAGTCAGTGTGGAACGTTCATTCAAATTTACTAATTTTAAGGCTTTCTTTAAATACCTACTCACACAACGAATTAGTGCTTCTGTTTTTACTTACTTATGTGAAAACACTAATATTTGCTCACATTTGAAACTGTTGCACACAACAAGAGAGTTTTTTACAGTCAATATGAAGTCTGCAATGATAACACATTGAGTTCCTTAAGTTAATGTAAATGATCACTGAAGAAATAGTGTTTCTGTTGTTCTAAAATATTTTGAAAATGGAGTTTCCTAATAAAGAAATGAATTACTGACATTATGGGGGCCTAGAAGTGGAATGGAAATATTCTGTATGACTTGAAAGTTTATTACTTGGTATTTTTTGTATCAGTCTTTAACTTTACGTTTCTCAGCTTGACCTCTAATTGCATATTTGGTTACCTGATGGGTTAAAATTTACTGCGTGCCAGTATGTCAAGGTCAAGTAACCAGTTGCTGTAATGATGTACATAATCGTCATTTTCTCCTACAGATGCCATTCAAATGCATAGAAGCTTTCAAGTGCAGCTTATAAAAGCTCAAAAGAATCAGATTATTCAGCAATTACTGTTTGCTTTTCAACTGTTCTCTTGAATTTTCATTTTGAATGTATTTTGTTCAAAATTGTTTTCATGGTACAAAGGCTAGCTCAACAGGTGAAATCCCAGTATGCAGGCATGACAATAAATATTTAATTAGTTGTCATCCAGCATGGGGGGAAAAAGCTGAATGTTTTAAATGTCATCATGTTGGCAGTACTGACTTCACATTCGTGTTATTGCCCCTACCTACATATCCTAGTAATTATCCAGCTGTTTGCACATATCTCTTTGGGCAGAATCACCAATTTTGCAATTATGTATGCATACTTTAATCATATTTCAACCTTTTGTTTGTGTGTACCACTGATCCAGTTGAAATCAGAGGCACCTGTAATAACAATGTAAGCACAGCTGACCTTCATATAAAATCTTCAATTGGATTATTAGCTTGCAAGAGAAAAGGATATATGAAGATCAAATAAAGCATGAGCAGATTTTACCATGATGGCCAAAGAGAGCACAGTCAATTTTTGATAATGTGTTGGGAAGTGTTACAGATTCTATAATCATAATTTGTTAAATTAGAAAATATCCAGCCAATTAATACAAGTAAGTACAGTGACAAAAAGGAGGAAACACAAAACATCACAAAGAACACCTAGAAATTCTGTCGAAAGTATGTTTATGGCAACTTTAGAGACCTACTGTGATATATGAGTTCCAAGGTGGGAATGGAAGTGATAAGGGATGTGGGAGTGTCCCATAAAGCAGATCCACCATTTAAATGTTATTTCTGAACATCTACGTGGCAATCTGTGATGAATTTTCTATCATGGTTTACTGACAGAGCTAATCAGGGCAGAGATTCCATTGTATATACCATCCTCATTTCTTTCTCTCATATTCAGAACTGCATGATATTTGTGAAAGTGATGGAAAGTAAGAGGTTAGGGCATTGCTTAACAGTTACTCATTTTTTGCATAGAACAGAACACTCTTCTAATATAAATAAACGTAACTGATGAAAAAAGTTCACTTATTTAATCATGAAAACAGATCTGCACTTTAAGCTGAAATTCCAGCAAAAGATGATTTGTTCTGGTTCACTAAATAATTACACATATTGTTTGAAAATCAAATACTGTATTGCGAAGTTAATAGTAATAACAGTGTCATTACCAATAGCATTAATAACGAAACAGTTTATTTATGTATGTATCGTTCAACTGATCTAAAAATTACTCACAAAAATTTTACTGCCCATAAAATACACAATACTTGTTTTGGCAACATAGATTTCTTTTATATAAAAAATTTCTTTTTTTTTTCTGGGAATGCAACTAACTGATATTGATAAATTCAGTTAACTATATACAAACTTCTGGAATTTGGGAGATCTTGAGTATAGGTCTCTCTACATTTTGAACTTTGAACAGTTATGTCTGTCATCCAAAACTGTTGTAAAGTCTACTGTACCTAGCTTTTTATCAACAGTTGCATAATTGCAGTATAGTTTAATAGTTATTTACATGACAAAATATAATTACTGTATGTATCAATTAAAAAGATATAAGAATGGCTTTCTATTAGGAGGGTTGCCAGTATAATCCTAACAGCTGTGTGAAGAAATAGCACAACCATAGTTCATCAATGGCTTTCCCACCTTCAATGGCAAATCAATTTGGATAGCATCATCCTCAATTTGTTTTGTCCGACACGTGCCTTCTTTCATCATTAACTCTTATTTCTCTTGTAGAAAAAGACTTAAGAAATAAATTTCTGATTCAAGTTACGAACAGAAAGTCTGTCATAGGTGTGCCAAAAAAGCACTACTTCATTTACAGCCACATTTAAAAAATGGCTGTACTGACACATTGTAACAGCTTTATGTACACAGAAAATATTAAATTTTACCGCTTTTTTACACACAGAAATCTGCACTATTTATATGAAAGAATAAGTATTCAACAGAGGTGATTCGATTTAATAAAAAAAGACACTTCTGTACATAATTGCAGCAAAGTTGAGTATGCATGATTGTGACGAGTTTCTTGAGACACTTGGTGGTGTATCATTGGCAGCATGAACCCAGCCCTCTACACCACTACCCACACCCTTTGATTCCCAGCAGGCTTAAGCACTCCTGCATCACTGCCACAGTCAGAAGTGCAACACTCCCACCCGCCACCATTACACGCATGTTCAGCCTCAGCCCAGCCATGGCCCAGTACTTCTCTTTCCCTAGGCTTTGCAATTGTCATGGCCTATGAAATCTGGAAACAATCAACATTTACATACTTAGTTACTCTCTTCTCTCAGCATAGCAAGTGGCCATACTAGTATAACATAATTAACATATAAAAGTGAAACAGATCAATATAAAAGTCACAAATGCGCTAGAAATATATTAATATTGTGACGTGTTGTGCTATGGATGACGCCCCTCCCTCAACACCAGCCGTGATGTGCTGAGCGGAGCCGAAGCGAGCCAAGTCCCAGCACGCTGGTTGCTAGGCAAAGCGAGTAAACAGCAGTGACGTACCACAGGATGCCGCAGTTGCTATGTAGCCGTAAACAACTCCCTACAGTGTTGCTAGGCTATCGGCAAACACGGCGTCAGACAACAGTGGTTCCTATTACGTAACTGTTTTCCCATTGTCCAGCTGAGGGTTTATAAGAGCACTACACTTCCTACAGAGTCAGTTAAGTGTATCAGTCGCCGAAGTGAGTTCTCAAGGCAGCAGTTACAGTTATGAGTTAGCCAACAGTGAGTCAGTTAACCAGTCAATAGCTGTCTATCTTTCATCGGAGTATTTGTGATACTGTCAATGGCAGTAATTGTCAGAGATTGTCAACTGTGAGATTGTAAGAGCAAATGTGAAATAAAATTCGCTATATCCAATACAGCGTGAAATTATTTGTCGTGTTGTACACCCAACACATGACAATTTGGTGTCAGAAGTGAGACTGGACTTACACACGTGACCAACAAGATTCAAACTCAAGACACATTACAATATCAATGGACTTCTTTTGCTGGTATACAATCATAGCAACACCTTTCCTCAAAAAAAAAACATAAAAATAGAAAATTTGTTAATTAAAATGGGGTTGTTTATATCAAACAAATATTTTTTATTTTATCAATTCACATCATATTTTGTCCCAGACAGGCCATCATCAGTGAATCAATAAAACAAAAAACATTTGTGTGCATGATGGCAACTCCAAAATTTGTATTTGTAAACACAGTATTCATTACTAAAGTGAGGGAATGAGAGACTTCTAATGAAGAAAATGTATAACTACCACATATTGATCTTAGGATTGCATTATCATCAATGGCCTGAACTGTATGGTACAGAAGAATGTGCATACTTGAAACAGGGAATGCTTATGGGTCATTATTTACTGTCACCCTAACATACCTCACTTGTTACTACATAAATCCCAGAAGTTCAAACAGTGCCCTAAATGAACAGAATGACAGAAGTCTGAGCTATATGCACCACACTTATGCTCAACTTTGTGTGCACTGTAGATCACATTTGAGTGCATAGCACTCCTGCTTCATATTTGGAGGGTCTCAGAAGAAAATCCAGGCCTGGAGACCAGATCTCATGACTCATGATTTGTGTGATTTTTAAATCAGTCCATTCAGGCAAATGCCAGGACAATACTTCAAATTAGGCCATGACTGTTTCCTGTGACATCCATTCCAATTCATTATTCACTAATCATCCTACCATTCAAAGCTATACAAATATAGTCTGAGCTATAGCACCACTAAATAAATAAATAAAACTGTGTAGATTAAATGGAACTCTTTGGGGGTGGGGGTTAGGCTGGGAAGCAATTGTGATGTTTATAAAGATCCTAATGTCAAAAATAGGGAAATGGAAGTGGAGCATGNATAGCCTCAATCATTGGATTGAGTGATTGAGGCTAGCTCTTTCTAAGGGACCCAACAGAATAGGTGTTTTCCCTCACCTGAGGATGGAAACAGATCCAGTTTCCGAAACGTCGTGTTTTTCTTAGTTATCTTAAAAACCAGGACGATGGATAAAGTCCGAAAACCCAATATCTCTGTGTGTTATACACCATCGTCAGAATCCTACAGTAACTACTTGTGGAAGATGTTCAGAATTTTAATATGAATAATAGGAGAAGGAACAATTTTGTGAAATATAAAAGCTCTGTACAATTACATTTATATGTATCCTACAAATGTTTTATTATAGCAATTGTTTAAAACACAAAGTTATTTGGCCAACAATTATTTTGAGAACATACACCTTACTACTAAATGTAAAGAACTTTCACAGTAATTTCTGCCACAGTGAGGCTATAAAATTACATATGTAGGATATAAGGGAGAAGTTTAGGTGGAAGAATACATGGAAGAACAGTCTAGGCACTTTTCTTCTCATAGCAAATCCTTTAAATCAGAGAGCTGTATAATAGTTCTTGATATTGCAAACATTTCTAACCTGGTGAGGTGCCGACTGTCTTCATGCACCTCCATCTCTGAACTCTTGAACTCGTTCAGCTCCTTACGAATGGCTGCTTTGTCCTTCGGTGTAAGTCTTGTCCAGGGTTTATCAGCACGACGGTCATACTCATGGGCTTGAGTTACCTCAATATAATCATTAAATCGGATGATCTGAAACACAACAAGAAATATCCATTCATCTTATAACATTCTCATATGGTAGCTAATGATCCATATACCATAATCTAACATTAAAATTAATTTCCTATAATAATATCTGAAGGCTCACTGCACACAATCTTCAGTCACATTACTTTCCACTTTAATAATATACTTCTGTAGAATATATCTTAATATTATCCTCCCTCTACTTCTGTGTTTTCCAAGTGGCTGCTTTCAAAGATATAACTCCAACAAATTTATGTGTCTATTTCTTGTCTTCCTCATCTCAGTTAAATGCCCAGCCCATTTACTCTCTTCTTTCATTATGCTAATAACAGGTGATCTGAATAAATCATGAAGTTCTTCTTTCATAATACTCCAAACCGTTCACTTACTTCATCCTTCTTAGGTCCATATACATTCTAAGTATTTTGTTTTCAGATACTTATAATCTTAGTATTTTCCTTAACAGTAGAAGAAAAAGTTTCACAGCAATACAAAATTACTTTTTTAAACATGTCTTGACCTTTAGCATTATAAAAGCCAATAATGGTTTCTGAACTGATTAAATCTCAGATTTATTCTTAATTGCTCTGTGTTTCCTATTGTTTTTCTAGATATTTAAAATTTTAAGTTTTTACAAATATTTACTGCCTATTATTACTTCAGTGTAAATTTTGTTCTTGTGACATACTCAAATACATAGTTTTACCTACTTCTACTTCTGTAACATTCCTTTGCTAACCTGTGAACAAAATTCTGGGCTATAACTGTACTATTTATAATTTAACCTAGCATAAGAATATCATATTAACATTATTAACTCTACATAATGTATCTCAACTTTCATTAAGACATTACTCTCTACCGGGATAATTAATAAAAATGGTATAGGAGCTGAAAAATGCATAATGAGGAGCTTCATAAGTTGTACTCTTCTCCAAGTATAATTAGAATGATTAAGTCATGGAGGATGAGGTGGGCAGGGCATGTAGCACAAATGGGGGAGAAGAGGAATGCATATAGGATATTGGTGGGAAAGGCAGAAGGAGAGAGCCCACTGGGAAGACAAAGTCGTAGGTGGGTGGACAATATTAAAATGGATCTTAACTCTTTGACTGGTACGAAGGGTATTTAAATCCCACCCCTGTCCTGGCAGGCCCTTTAAACATTATGTCGCTAAGATGCATGTGCTTACTTTTTTCTAAACAACTTCAACAAAAATTGGTTTTTAAAAATGAAATTTTCAGGAACTATTAAAAATACAATATTTTATGCAAT